TTCCTTAAATCTCCGTCTCCTTTGCAGCTGTGTGAGGATTGTAGCGTCCAAAACCTTTGTTTCTTGGAGAACTTTGTTACCTTAGTGCAGAACTTCGATGTGTATGAAGTTCATCGCTCATGTTGTCATGGTGTATTTCATCCCTCATGAAGGGAAATAGATTTAGAAGAAGGGCACAAACGACCTTCCATTCCGGGCGTGGACACGATGGACTCCATCTCGTGGGAGTGTAACAGATGCGGTGGTGGGAACGCATTTTCTGAAGGAAAAAGAGAAACGCAAATCTTTCGCGTCAAATCTGCTTTTATCATCGATGAGGCGAGAGAAACAGACCCAATTTCAGCCGAGTTTCTACTGTTGCGGAATTTCCTCTTTATTTTTTTCACAAGTTTCTACTGTTCGGAACCACAACAGGTTTGCGACTGACCCTGAAACCTTTCACGATTCATTGAGCCCAAGCAATTTCCCCGAGGAAAAAGAAGAATGCTTGGTGACATCAAGTGGACTCCAAGGCCATCAAGTGGACTCCAAGGCCATCAAGTGGACTCCAAGGTCAAGCGTTGCCGTTGGTCTATATCGCTCAGGCCGCATCTCGCATCCACTCCAGTAAAATTCTTTTTTTTGGGCTAGGTTTTTATTACAGATGCGTCACCATTTTCCCTTTTATTAGCTAACGAATCAATGGGCAATGATGTGAGAGTTTACCTTTCTTTTTCTAATCCTTGTTTACATTATACAGGGTGACACGGAAGTCCTATACACTTACTTTTTTCAACATTTTATAACTTTTTAAACAGCTAATAACCGGGGACAACACTATTAGAAACTACAACTATTTCAACAGATAATATCAGCAAAATGACTCAAAATGGCCACCTTTTGCTTCCACACAATCGCAAAGTTTTTTTGAAAAAACATCGACTGCAGCACGCAGCGTTTCTTGGGGGATTTTGAGTCATTCCGCTTGAAGGGCACGCTCCAGGGACTCGACTGATGCATGTGGAGTAGCATAGACTTTGTTCTCCAAGATGATCCGCACAGAAAAGTCCAACGGGTTCAGGTCGGTATTATACGGAAGCCATCTGGCCGAGGTGATGAAGTCACGAAATTCTTCGTTGCAGAAGGCCTGAGTGATGATGATGATGATTTACTGTACCCTGGAGGGTACAGTAAATCATCATCACGATGATTTACTGTACCCACCGTCATGTTGATGATTTACATCATCAACACGACGGTGGCCCGTAGAGATGCCTGACGACTCTGCTGCCCATACTCAGTCATTTTTAAAGTTAAAGGATTGTTCTATCGTGAAGAGCTTCTCGTCAGAAAAGAGGATATCGCGATAGCCACCATCTGCAAACCAACGGAGCAGCGACTGCTATCGTTACAGCCTAGTCTTCTTCGCTCGTTCCATGAGAAATTGAGGATTAGGGAACTTGAAAGACAGAAGATTCAGCTTGTTCTTGATCATTCGCCGGGGCGATTTGGGATTTATCTTCGTCGTTTGGGCCATTTTTCTCAGCGATTGCTCCGGATTGCGACGAAGTCGAGATCGAACTCTTTCGATGTTGACAGTGATTGACGCAGACTTTGTTAGACCTGATCGATGACGATTCTCAGTAGAGTTTGCCTCAAGGAACCGCTTGATAGTACGTTTGATGAAGTTCCGGTTGTAGCCGTTGGTCTGGAGCAGCCGGAAGATCTCAGAGGGTAATTTCCTAGCAAGTACGTTTGACTATTGTCGTCTGGCTGCTAGAAGTAACCTGTTACTGTACTGCTTTGATTATCCCCAAGCGTTTCAAAACCACTTTGATTAAGGGAGCATGGTATTCGAAATGTAGCTTTGGTTTCCAAAAATTTTCCAACATGTTAGCTCAGAACCAGCAACGTTTTTCTGAAGTGTATAGAACTTTTGTGTCACCCTGTAGAGGTGTTAGTGGGTCAAGTCGTAAGATCCGTTTTAAGTACGGCAGATGCGCTACCTGCTTAATCTGAAAGTGAGGTTAGTATCATAGAAAAATCTGAAACGTAGAAGGAATTCATATCGACTCGGGCCAAAACTGTACCGTCTGGCACCACTTGTCATTAAAAATCAAGTAACCATAGAGGTGCTTGTAAAGACACTAATGAATGCTTCTCTCTCTCGGTAGATGGGCCACGACTTCATTATGAGATCGGGACATTTTCAGGGATAGGGGTCATTTATAATTGCATGTAAAACATGACTATATTGTTATTCTCTTACCGTACCACATGATTTCCCTAATACATATTCTTTGCGAATATACAGGTAATGTGGGGATTGATCCGTGTAAATGAAATATGTTCCCTCTGCCACTTCCTTCATTTTATGTTCGACAACGTACCAGTAACTGAAAATTGACTAATATCGATAATATCAGGATTTTTTTACGCCAGCCGTGGACAAACTATAATTGCCTATTTATATGAAAAAAATTTTTCGTATTTTTAAAGTAGGAAAAACTTTTAAATCACAGTTTCTCTTGTACTGCTGGTTTGTTCTGGGAAGAATACATATCTTCGGAAACTTTCATTGTGACCTTGTATCTCTTTATCATGTCATCTACGGTCGCAGCTCAATGTGAGTCACATCCTTGAAGGGTCCTGTGACGTCTTCCATGAGCCTGTAAGGAGTTACAGTGAAGTTGACGACTCGTTTAGGCCTCTATTGCTTGAAACGACATCTGTTGAAAGTTATAGAAGTACTATTTTGCCGAGCCGCCTGTAGGGTCCATAGAAAAGCATGGAGCCAATGTTAATGGGGGTTAAAGTCATTCCGGAAACACTGTAGTACCTCATGCAGGGCCTGATTAAGAGGTTGCGAGGCCCGGGGCAAGTGGATTATTGAGACTGCAACCTCCCCCCACTTCCCACTTTACGCAAATACTTGACGTTTTACAGTGTTTTTCACTTCAGTTAGACAATTTTTCACTTGACTAAGACACCGATGCGAGGGGTATTCAGAGAGGAGGCGAGGGCGCAGATGCCCCTGGTGACTAGCGTCATCTTTCTCTTCTTTTTATCCTGTGACAGCAAATGCCAAATTTGATTTTCATAGGCCCATGGAAAGCGAAGGCCTAAACTAAAAGAAACATCATAACAGGCTTTTCAGGTTGTCTGGATACTCCAAATAGAAAACTTCACCCCATCGATTACCTACTATATAATCATTCCTGGCCTTAGGAAATCCCTCTGGCAAAGAAAATGAAGCATTTTCGCAGTAAAACAGTTTCTATCTGCATGTTTCCATAAGAAACGCATTGAAACTTGCGCACTCGACTCCCCCCAAGCTCATTTTTATGCTTCCTGCCGCCAGATGTCTCCAACTTAATGCACCCAGCGAATAGTCCAGACCTGGCCCCGTATCACATCTTTCTCTTTCCAAGAGTTAAAGAATCGCTTCGCGGACAACGTTTGCAGTCTCCAGAAGAAGCAGTTGCTGAATTAATTACAGTTATTTCGGGTATCCCAACATCTGAGTAGAAAAAATGCTTTGAGAAATGGTTTTTAAGGATGGGAAACTCCAGGGCCGTTTTTAGGGGCGGGCGATCGCCCGGGGCGTAAGCGGGGTGAAGGGGGATGGGGGAGGGCGCCAGAGTGGTAAAGGGGGAGGGGGGGGGGGGCGCCAGCGGGGGAAAGGGGGGGGGGGGGGGTGCCGTTGGAATTTCTTGCCCTGGGCGCCAACACGCCTAGAAACGGCCCTGGGAAACTCCATTAATGCTTAGGGAGAATACTTCGAAAAGATACTTTAATGATTAACACCCAGTAGTTTTCAGTCGTCCGCATCTGGAAACTTTCGGAGTGTCCCTCGTAATACCTGTACTTCACTGGCTACGATGGCTTCATGCGTGAGCTGTTTTAATGACTGACACAATGTCTCTCAACATTTTCGGCGATAATAATCAGAAAATTCATCGGAGGTTGAGGACTCTCGGGGGAATTGAGGACTCTGAGAAGGCAAAGATTAGATTGCACTCAGGGACAGCTGGAGTTCTTCGAGTAGTTTTTGTGCTGTTTGTTTCCGGGAAATTCTCCAGAAGTAAATACTAATTAAATGCGCAGGAAAAATTCACATGTAAATTTTTTCAAGTTACCATACTATGACTTCTTTTTCATTTCCTTTTTTTCTATGGAACTGATACCTAATTACGGATTTTAATGACTCCCCGAATCTAAGAGAAAAAGGTTTTTATTTTTTTTTTTTGGGGGGGGGGGAAGGTGCAAAGTCCTTGGTAAAAGCAACCCTCGGTGCTAACGAAGTGAAAGCGTCCAGTAGTAGGCTATCGCTGATGCTCACGTGGCGAACTGGACAAGGCTACACTCTGTGGGCAGAGCGCTCTTGAAGCGGAACTACTGCACGGAAGATCGCTCATCCTGAGATTATGGCGACGTCCCTGGAGGGTAGCGCAGGATTGTTTTCCTAGGCTGTTCCGATGGCCTGCCTCATTCTTTTAACCTTTTGAGAAAAGCTGACAATATGATCTCACCTTGTAAAGTTAGATGCAGTCTATGACCGTACGAAGGCCTAACCTATCATATAATCGGAGCGAGTAGACAAACATATTGATGTGTTTCAGAAAGAGCTACGAGTCCATGAGAGGTTGCGACCGATGGGATAGACTTTTGATTAACACCTGGAAAGATTTTGTTTGTTGCAATCCATTTAGAAGGAAAGCAATTCTGATCTCTGGTAATGCAAAGTGAGTGATTTGGGCAAGTTATTTTTTATTCAACCTTACGGCAAAGAATTTTGGGGCAGGAGGCTTGGTCTATTCCAAAATAGGCCTAAACCAGTCAGCTTTACCTTGGTGCCTTGGGGAGGGGTTAAGGTTTCCTTGTTTGACCTACACAATATTTTTGAGGTTTTCATAAGTAGTCTTCCCTTATATTCAGACTGAAAGCCTCTAGGATTACCCTGGGCCTAGGGATATTCCTAACATAGGCCTATATGAGTAATGAATGATTGAGCTTGACTCAGCTTAAGGCTCCTTGTGTCTTTCTGCAGGTTATTTGAAATTGAACTCAAAGAGTAGAAGACAGACACCATGTCAAACAAATATAATTTGAAGTGGAACTCTCATCATGCCGAAACCCTGCAAAGCTTTGAGAATCTCCGTCACAGGGAGATGTTTGTGGATGTGACATTATCCTGTAATGGGCAGTTCTTAAAAGCCCATAAACTGGTGTTGTGTGCAGGGAGTGGGTATTTTGAGCGAGTCCTCAACAAGGATGGACTGGGGACTCCCACTGTTCATTTTTATGGAGTGGACATGCATTTGCTCAAGCTGCTGGTGGAATTTATGTACTGTGGTGAAGTTGAAGTCCCAGATGTGGACCTAGAGAAGTTCATTGAAGTTGCAGAAAACCTGGAAGTGAAGGGGCTCAAAGGAGATAAAGCAAAAAGCAGCACATCACATGGTGTTGTTGGGACCACCATCCCTGTCTCAGATGTTCAGGATGCTCTGGCTCATAAGAGAAAGAGTACTGGCCATTCTTGGCTAGGACTAGGAGAAATGCAACACTCCCCAGCCAAAATGGCCAGATCTCGTGCTCTTGTTCCCCGAGCCAGGTCACAAATGGCCACATCACATCTTCAGCAATCTGAGGCAGTACGTTTGTTGGACGTAATTGCTTCCTCTGCAACAAGTAACCTGGAGCTGGCATTTCCTTCACTTACAGTTATTTCAATTTTTTTGACAGGTGGCATCCCCATCTCAAGTACTTCAGAGCCAATCTGAACCAAGTATGAGTACATCCACTGATGAAATTGTGATTAAAGATGAGACTAAAGAGGAGGAACTGGATGATATACATGATGTGATGGATTCTGGTTCAGTGGCTACTGTGAGTTCAAAATGTTTAATTATAACACAAAATATGTGTCCTTCCCTGAAGAATCCCTTCAGTCATCCATTTAATGTGAATGCAATTCCCTCTGCAGGAAGAAGGTCAATGGGATGAGCAAGCCTCATATTCTGTGGAGGGAATGGAAGGAGAGCCTGAAATGCCCATGAATATTCCTCCAGAAGTCGACCCACAGGTTAGTGTGAAACCATTTTATTTTTAATGGGTGACATACAATAGGTCCCTCACACAAAAGCTTTTTATCCATGAAATATGTTAGTACACAAAATATGTACATATGTACATGGAGGTAAGTCCTATTTCTGAAACTTGGATGACATGTTGTTTTCATGCCAATACTAGTTGGCTATTAAAAACTGGTACAAACTTTATATTTTGCGGATTTGGCTTTGAGTTCAGATGGAGTTTCATCTGTAGAAGTTACATTCTGCTGTGACCCAGGTTAAGTGTTTGGATTTCTGATTTGGGTAGACCCAAGGGGTCTCGAGGCATTTTTATATTTATCTGATCAGTCTTCCTTAATTCATGATTGCAAAATGCTTCTTACCACCCAATCCCAAAACCTTGAACCATAAACCATGAGCCATTACTCATGGCTCATCAAAAATTGCTCAGGGTACATTGAGATGTATCAGGGTATATATGATATTCATTTTGCATTTTTGTCAATTTCAGGTCTAAGTTAATATAAGAGTTTAAATCTTTTTAATTTTTCAGATTTGGTTTAGTCAGAGTTTGGTACATTTGCTGAGTGAACTGTGGCATAGGAGTGCATTTAAATTCAATCCATTAATTCAAAAATTAACAACTGTGCACTTCTGTGAGTCACTAAGTTTAATTCAAAGAACTCACATTTTAAATGAGTTTGAGTTTCATTCAGAAAATAGGAGCTCGAACTTGTCTGGGTTAGCAATCTTTTAATGCTCAAGGGTTAGAGTAATGGAATAATGCATGATGGTTTTGATTTGAACCATCTTGATTAATCACATGATGACATTACAAGTTCATTAATGGTTGGTCATAGAGAAAGTTAGATTTTAGATTTTGTAGGTTTCATGTACTTGCTTGATCTTCAGTTTTGGTAATAGTTTTTTTTTAATAATTTTTTTTATCTGTTAGCCGTAGGATGTTGATTTTGATGTCGATGTCGAATATTACAGACATGTCAACATATGTCCATAAATCTGTAGATGTAGCAATATGGATATTCCTCCAATAGGCTTGCCTGTACAAATTCCATGGAAACTAGGTAGGGTTTCCTGCAAAAATTGAAATATGGCAGTGGTTGCAACAACCTTGAGTGGGGAAGGAAATTCTAATGACAGTTGACAGATGTAGCACATATCAATTGGCCTCATGGTTTCCTTCCATTTTGCAAAAGCCCAAAAGAGGGATAAGCTCTTTACCTGAAATATGGAAATACGACAGAGAACTTTTGAGCCTCTGCCACTTCATGGAAAGCTACTGCATGTTGTGGGTCTCCTGTAGGTCTATTTAATGGAGAGAAATATGAATTCAGGAACATAAAAGTGGGGTCAAACATTCCAAATGCTGTGTTTTTATCAACATGGATTCCCCTTCCTGGTATTGAAGATAACTGATTTAGAAATACCCTTAAGTTCCTAGCACACATCTATTACAGTTAATTCCTGCAAATCTCTACCAGTTTTTTAATGTGTCACTTGATAGTTACGGATTTTGATTGTGTTGTCTTGCAGGTCAGTTGTTGTTTCACATACTTGGAAATATTTTTGTTAAAAGAAATTTCTCAATTCAAGTAGCAAATATCAATTATAGCTTTGCATCTGAAGAGACACCTCCCTCTGAAAAACTGCCTTGAAAGACTCCTGTAGTTCCAGAACTAATTTTATGGTTTTGTTTGTTTGAAAATCTTGTTCAAATATGCCTTAGAGAAGTAGGAGTGGAATGAGGTGTAAAAACAGAGTGATGTTGCATACCACAATCTGCATTGTTCATTCCTCTCCCAGTCTAAAACTCAGTTGTGTGAAGTGGAGTATTTAATAATTTGAAACTAAACCTACATTTTTTAATTTTTGCTCCCCAGCCACACAAAAAGAAGAACTAAACTTTGCTTCTGGATGTTTTCAAACTGAAGTTTGCTTCTGTATTTTATACCTAAGGAACTCTCTGGATGCAAATATAGTGCCTAACTCCATTCAGCAAACCTGTTGTCTGATGGGCTCATGAAGTCCAACCCTGAATTTTCCTCTAATCTAGATATTTGTATAAGTGCCTCAATTGCCAGCAGAAATGGTATGATTGTCATTTTACAGAGGTCAGGTATGTATGGATGCCTGAGAATTCATGTGAGAACTTAAGTTGAGAAAGAATACTTGGGAGTAAATATGCTGTCAGTGCAGAGAAAATGTAACCTTCTCTGCATAAATATCTTGATGTGTACATAGTATCCTGGGAAAAGTGTACCCCATTCCATCATTGTGGAATGCATTGATATCCTTTTGGATATTAGGTGAGCTGTGAAAGGAAATAACATTGTTTCATTTTGGAAGCCTTTTTGCTTATAAAATGATGCCATGGCAGTCACTTGTAATAATGTTACTATGCTAGCTTTCTCCTTTTTATACTAATTTTTGATAGTCTAACAAAGAAGGCATGGGGCATGCCAACAATGGTTTTTTTTCTACGGAGTTAAAGACCTCGTATTTAGAGGAGGTTGTGAACTTGAAAGGCTTTCATGCACAGGGCAACTGTAATGCTATTAAAGATGGAACCACTGGTATATTTGTCCATATATTCATGGAATTAGCAGAAAATAGTTCAGGGAAGAAGAGACATCCATATTCTATATAAGCACTTGTTGCACTCCATTTCTTTTCTAGAATGTGGAACATCTGCAAGACTATATTTGGTGGGGAAGAACTTCATCGAATATGAAAGTCTTCTTCTGTGCCATCTGCCCCTTCACAGGTTATCGCAAGGATAATTCCCTTCAACACAATTATGTACATGTAAAACCATTTCACTGTGCTTTGTGTCCCAAGCAGTTCTCTGAGAAACGTTTACTGCAGGGTCACATGAAAAAATACCATTGATTTTATGGGTAGTCATTATTCTCCTTGGAAAAATTGCTTGTTTCTAACATGCCTGTCTGAATGACTTGTGCTAGAAGGGAGGTAGGAAAAAGCAGTTGTTGTTCAATATCCTTTGGTAGAAGAAGGTTTCGTTCCATTTTAGTCTGTATCCTTTGGTCAAAACTTTTTCTGAGGCAGCCAGACATTGTCAGCCTTCAAGGTGGTGTTCTTGTGTCCACAAAACTCATTGCAGATGCAATGCTATGCTCCAAAGTCATAAACACTCCAAAGAGAAACCTTGTCTGCACAATGTACTCTTGCTACTATGCTCAGAAATCAAATCTGATCTTCAATTGACCTCATGAACATGCTCAGGTGCCAGTATAAAATATTGGGAACATTTGTGATCATCCTTACTCTATTTCTATAATTCATTTGGTATGTAGTATACTTCACTTCTGCTGGAGAAGTTATGTGATATTCATGACAATGTTTGACTGTTGCTCTGTTGAATAAATGTGCCGATGGTTGGCCCATCAAATCTCTCCTTGATTAATGTTCCAAGGAATCAGTCCATTTTAATTGCTTATCAGGGATCAGTGATATTCAAGTTAAAAGTACTGACACAAATATATGGAAGTGATGTGAATAGAGAGATTCATGTAATTATTCAGTGATTAGGCACTTCTGATGGAATATGATGATTGTGAATTGAATTCAAATCTTCTGTTTCACTTCCAAATTAAACAGTGCATCAAGTTGAGTTTCCTTTCTTAGAATCAAGCAGCTCTTCAAGCTTTCATGAACCATGATATGAATCAAGTAGAATTTCTACCTTTGACATCAACCATAGAGTTTCATGTGCAGTCTAAGACCTTTGATGGTGGGAAAGTAAATCTTGGTCAAGTTGCAGAAACTGCACTGATGCTGCCCTTTCCCATCAAGGTGTTTTTTTTGCATAAGGTGTCCTTGGTCCATTGAGTGCTATATTGGCATGGTATGAGCTTTTAACTCCAAATCATCTTCTGTCCAATTTATTTAAGGTTGACAGATGAAACTCTGTCTGCTGATAAAACCATGCTAATAGTGTGCTATCCTTGTTAGGTGTTATCTAAGGACCCTCTCCTTGGACCAAACTGATCAATGCAGTGATTTTTTTATTGTTCCCCCCCTTACCCTTTTCAGAATGACAGTACATGTCATGCAGCTTGAGTGACATTTTCTTTCTCATGAAAGTGACCTTGGTTATGTCACACTAAGTCAATGATTACCAAGTATCAGTGATTTAGCAGTTCCTGCCTCCACTAAAGTGGGGTGAGGGGTGCATTCAATCAATCATCACTGCAGTGGATGATGCTCATCTGAGAGAGATATGTGAGAGTTTAGAGAGAGACACAGTACAGTAGGTCTGTTAAAAATGACTCCCTGAAAGGTGCAATTTTAGACCCAAAACATATGTGACCCTCTGATGTTCAATCCAAGGAAATTGGCAGCTAATTTTGCATTTAGGCTTATTGACTAGGGGTGTTTCAGAAAGAAGAAATATTGATTTGTAAATTGAGCATTTGTATTATCACTGTTTCTATTTACTTACTCCTTCAGAGGTGATGCTCATTTCCCCTTGGCTCTGCCACATCTTAGACATGAGAGAACCCAGCCTTTGACTTTTACTTTTGAATATCCAACATGGCATGATTGAGCTCTGAATCCAGCCCAGAAGCCAAGGTTCAGTTTCCACATGCAAGAAAATAAAAAAAAAAGTACCTAGAAAAAAGGTCAGTATAGAAGGTGGATGTTATTGCATAAGTGAGACTTCAATAAGGCACACAGTGACTTTGAGTGCATTATTATTTGCAACCCTCTTGCAGCAGATGCTTACATTTACACTGGTTAGGGAAAGAAAAACACTGCCCTGGCTTTGATGGAGGATGTCATCCAATCAAGCCTTTGCTCTTGGTGGTCCTCATCTTTCATTCAGGGGTTTCAGTACATAGGTATCCTGATGATACATGTTGAAGACACTGGTGAAAAACTTCATAGCCTACAATATGTGCTGTATTTGTATCTGTCTCTATCAACAGCCAAGGAAACTTATTATGACTATGACAAGACACAGACACAGCCTATATGGCTGTGACATTCTCATGGCAGTATGCAGGCTTGCTGCTGCTCTTTCACCCACTGCATGTGCAAATCAGTTGCAGTGGAGAGCAATGTAATGGACCTAAATAAAACTGCATCTGCTGGGAAGTATGTAGCAGTATATACAGTGAACTTACACTTGCTACAGGTTAAATTAATCAATAATGATGGTACATATCCAATGGAAATTTCAAGTTCAGTAGAAATGCCTTGAACGGTATTAAGGTGAGTTTTAGTAGGGCAATGAGTCTTCTATGACTTGTATGCACTTCTACTTTTAACATTCATTCCAGAACTTGTTTTAATGAGCCCTTGAAAAATAATATTGTTCAGAAGATGTTCTAAATTTCTGAACGCCATGTTATTCACATTTATCATACCCTTTATTTTCCTTATCATGCAATGATTTGAAATTTATTCCATTGTCAGCTCTTTCCAAGGATATAGTGAAGCAACCTGACCATATTGATTTGCAGCTGAAGCCCTTCATTCTATACAAATAGCCTTTTCGATATTGATACCAATTGAGAAAATGCCCCCACACTTGAAAATGCTATGACAGGGTGAAGTGCTGCATCTTTGGTTAGAATGCTCTCATTGCTCCTAGATGACATTAATATTCTCAGGCCAAGATTGCATTTTACTCCTTAGAGTAAATGACCTTTGAGAAACTTCTGTTCTTCGGGTGGCATTGTAATGCTAGACCTTAGAGAATAGAAGTAGGAAACTAGTACTATCATGAAAACAATGGAATACATTCAGTGTTTGCCCCAACTGTCTACTGTCTGGGGGGGAAATTCATATGATGGCAAACTTTCTATTGAAATTTTTGCAAGTAACAAAACTGTTCACAAATTTCTATCATCCTGTTTCAATTTTCTTTGATGTGGCTCTCTTTAAATTCAACATTATGGGTAGGCCTTCAGTCTCTCTTTTGCCAAGGTTCCTGTACTCATACTGTTTGATCTGGGTGCTAAATCAAATGTCCCTGCTGAGGCATTTTAATTTTAGATTTGCAGTTTTTATGTTTAATGCTATTAAATGTGAAAATCTCTGTTTAACCTTTCATAGTTATTGAAAACTATAGCAAAACAATGGGATAAATATATTATCCAGCTCTAAACTTACAATGTAAACTTATCTTATTCTTTTTCTAGACTGTGTGCCATGCTGAGAGCTCTGTGTGGTTTGGAATGACTTCAGCTGGCAGTGTCAAGGTGTTCTTTTGTGGACTATGTGTCTACAAGACTACTCGCAAAGATGCTGCATTGAGGCACAGTGGAATACACAGCAAACCCTATGCTTGTGAAATTTGCAAAAAAACTTTCTCTGGTCGACAATCTCTGAGAAGTCATGTAGCACTCCACCATGCATTCTGAACATATTTATTATAGGTGTGATGTCAACTGTACAGTGTATGAGTACATAAACAATACAGTGGCTCCTTCTTAGTCACATGATGGCAGTACATGTATATTTTATTTCATTTTCTCAGTTCTTCATGGTATGCCCCATGCCTATTAGCATTATGAAATTATCTCTTATAATAGAACACCTTTATGAAACCTGAGCTGGTGTGGCTGGACACAAGGAATGCTTGTCTGTTATTCTGTGTCAGCTGCTCATAAAAAAGCACACTCACAGTGCAGTGATCTATTTTCATGGACAACCATGAAAAATCTAATGTCCTTTCTTTGCATGAATGTATTTCCAGACTTAATTCAAGTCAAGATTAGTTTCTATTTGCAAGCTGGAGGGAAAGGTTCAATGGAACTGAATTGCATCTTAACACATCTCCATATTGCACAGATGAATATATGAAGGGGGAGAGGAATCATTTTAACTTTCAGGACTTGATATTTTTCATAAAAAAATCATTTTCTCTGTCACATATGCATGTTTTTCCTTCTGTGAAATCTGTGAATGCTCAAAATCCATTCCTCAGGTATGATGTAAATGCATCCTAAATATGGATCATCTTGAACAGGAATAGGAATAGAAGTCTCATTTTTTATATTGGTGTATTTTTTCCCCCTTCGAGATTTCCTTTCTGCAAAGCAGTAAGTTGTGATGGGGATAATGGGATTCAGTGGTCATGCATATTACACTTTAAGGTTCCATTTAATTGTAGCTGATTTTGTCACATCCTACCTCAAACAATTCAACATATTTTCTCCCATCTGCACAGTAGCTCAATAAATTAGGGCCACTTTTCAAATTCCTGCATCTCTTATGCAAATGCAAAGAGGTCCATAAAATTCTATGTTTCATGTTCTTGGCCATTTTCGTTTTTCAGCAAAGATTGTTTGAAGTTAGTTTGAATCCAGAAATGCAAGCATTAAACTATTTTTCATATAATTGGCTTGAACTTTCACTCAGTTTTGTCCAATAAAAATGAGGTAGTTTGAATACCATCTAATCTGCATATTTTTACGTAAAATAAAGGATGTCCATATAGGTATGACCCAAAAATAATGTCATATGTCAGTAGTAAAGTACTTTATTGCCATGAATCTCTCCATGCAGTAACTCCCTACCTGTGCATTTCTTTGTGATAAGGTCTTTTATTTATATTCATGTCATTCCTCCACATATCCACTGACTTGCTAACATAATTCCCAGCAGTATGAGAATGCCACTCACATGTTCACTAACATTTCCTGCATGAAGCTGGTGAATGCTTCCTGTTTGTGGTTCCTTAGGTCTGTCACATCACACAGTCTCTTGGTATATATATGTCCTTTGATATAACCCCAGAGGTCCATAAAAGCAAGGGAATTGAGTCCCACCTCCTATGGTGGTGTGGACTAGGAGATCCAATTCCCTTTCCCCTCTCAAGGAGTCAAAGTTGGGATGAAATTCCTGCTTCTCATCTGCACCCCTCACTTCCTACTGTCACATTCCATTTGGGTTCATGATGGTGGTCCTGCAATATTTAACTTTCATCTTCATAGGTTTTAGTAATACCCTTACACATTTGAGGCCCTATGACCACACGTGTGGAGAAACTTCCATGACTTCTCAGCAATTATCTGACTCCAACTTCTCAGCAATTATCTGTAGCATTCTCATAGCTTTGCAGCTTACCATGTAGCACTTCTCTGGCTTATGTGTGATTGTCTTCATTTTTTGAGCAAATGTTCACTGATCAACCATTGACAGCACTTCATGGTATCAAGAGTTTACAGAGCTAATCCATCTTCAGCATTGACATTAATCTTTAATATTGTTTATTGCACCAAGGTAATGGTAATGAGAACCACAAAACAGAAGTACAGTAACATAGAATACAGAAATACAGAAACATGTATGAGATCCAATATCTGTCAATCTTGAATGAACTATTAGAGCAAAGACTCAGACAATGACACAAATGAGATCTAGTTATTGTCCCATGCTGTGAGGGATTTTGTGCCTCCAGGGCATTCTAGCAAGTGCTAGAGATGAACTGCACATTCACCACACAGAGAATGTGTGCAGTCTGCATTCAGAGAGGAGAAATCCTTTCCCTTGCAGATTTTGAAATTGTGTATAGACATCCGGGTGACAAGGTGTCTAATGCCAGTATTACATTCCTTCCATCAATGTTGAGTCATCCCAGGAGATGTCCAAAATACAATTGGGATATGAGATATTTTCTCTTGGGCTTCTTGTATATAAGCCTGAAAATGTGTTGTAAAAGCAAGGTGGAAGTCCTGGGCTATGTCTTTCACCAGGGGGTTTGTTCCAGCCATTAGAAGTGTCAGTGTCAATCCATTCTGAGCATTTCATGGCAATCCCAGTACTCTCTTGGGATATATAGATTTTACTTTATCTATACTATGCAGATTAGCCATTGACAACTGTTCCCAAAAGGCTGAGATAGCATATGTTATGATTAAGTGGATCTTTATCATAAAGAGGTTCAAAGCTGCTTTAAGGAAGAGTTTTTTGGTACTCTTGATTGAGTGTGTGGCACAGGAACATTTTTGTACCTTCACCTTGATATGTTTGATGAAGCAGCCTCTTGTTTGAAAAATCACTCAGAGGTATTCTTAGGAGTTAGCATTTCCAAGGCTTGTCCCAGGAAATGGAAGTGGTCCTCCTGTGCCAGTTTCCCTCAGCAAAACTTCATTATATTGATTTTGGCAGTGTTCACTTCTAGGTGACTTTTGACTGACCATTTCTCAAAGGCCTCAAGGCCCTTTCTAGACAGCTGCAGTAATAAACCATCTAATCTGTATACATTATTACCACAAGTGATGGGCAGACTTAATTGATGCAGGCTGGTAAACCATATGATAGTAAAATGAACAGTAAAGGACTCAGTGAGTCCCCTTGGGGAACCCCTTGTGACTTTTTGATAGACCTTGTCTTTCTAAGCCCATTGTCCATGATTACTTAATTTGTGCTGATGACGCTAAAAATCAGCTTGAACAGAGATCCTCCGATATTAAAATGTTGAGCACTGATATTAGTGCTGTTAGTGGATCTGAATCTGTCTTGTTAAGCCAGCAATGATGACTACATATTCAATTAACCAAAAAACTTCAATATTTTCTATTAATATATTCTAACTTTTGTCATGCATGCATACAATTTCAGCACTGGCTTTTTTTTTTTTTGCTTTCGTCAAGAGTTATTGACCCACATGCAGGTTCATAGACAAGGGGTTAATGGGATGGTGAGACTCAGAACTTTTATGGATCTTGCAGTCATGTTGTTGAAAGCAGTCCATAATACTTCATTCTGAGCACTCCAGGCACTCTCTGAAATGAAGTGTCAGAGAATCTAGTCAATTTTTCCCAGACTGTCCACTGTCTGGTCTGTGGCCTACACACTCCATCTATCTATCCTGGCTGACTATGTTTGCGAGCATTGAATCCTACTATACACATGATATATTTTAAATTTTGCTCTCTTTCAATTACCCTTCTAAGCTTTTCTCGTGCTCCGTTGTTCTCGCAGACGATGTGCCGAATTCAAAGATACGTGTGGTGTGGACAGATCTCGAGCTTCAACCGCAGAATCCACTTCTGTGGCCTGTGTCCATACGAGAACTACAATAAATCCAAAGTTGTGAGGCATTCTCGCACACACACCAATGAAAGGCCTTACCAGTGTCCAAAGTGTGGCAGGAAGTTTGCCCAATCACAAAATCTCCAATATCATCTGGTATCTAAGATCTGCCTTCAGTCTTCTTGATGTCATTCACCTTGAATGAAGACAGAAGTTGCTTCCAAGCCCATTTTGCTTGGTGCTTAATACTATTGTAGTGGCTGTGCCTCTGGAGACATTGTTTCCCCTCTGTGTTTTATGGGTGTTCATGGACAGTAATATAACAGTGATACTTTGAGAACCATGCTTCAATGACTGTCATGAACTGCATCTTTCTCTTCTATCCCTGTTTTGCTAATTGTTTTGTTCTTGTATAGCTTCTGATGGCAGAAATCCATAATTCATCTTGGTTTGTTTACATGTTTTTCCCCTGACATTACTTTCTCAGGCATTGTCTTTTGAATGTGGCTGAATATCCATGTTTGTGCTTGTGCTGCTCTAAGACATTTTGCAGGAACTAAGTAACTGACTGTTTTGGTGTTTTGGAGGATTTCTCAATGAGTCAGCAGTCAATATGACTAACCATTGCAGTCAAAAGTGATTTATGGACTGGGATGCTTCTTCTGTATTTGAGATTTTCTACTACACAGGATGTTGGATTCGAGTATTTCCCCAAAGGAGCAGTTTTGTTCCTTCTTTCATGGCTATCTACAAGGAAATATATACTTGATTTCGTTCAAATCTGATGTGTTTCATTACCCTGTCACAATCACATAAGAAATGAGCTCCCCTCCTTTTTCAAAAAATGTGAAATGAGTGAACTTGGAGGCATAAGGTCTCCTCGGAAATTCCCAAAGTCCACTTCTTTACTAATTTTTTGCAGAATAACTTGAATTGAATCCCCCCGTGTCTTAGATGGTGTTCCGTGTCCAGAAATTCCTTTGGTGGGGAAGAAAAGCAGACATGAAGAAGCTGTACTTCTGTTCCTTCTGTTCATACACATCATCTCACAAGCACAATGCCATCAAGCATATTCGAAGTCACACCAAGGAGAAGCCATTCCAGTGCCCAATTTGTTGGAAAACCTTTGCCCAATCCCCCTCACTGCAAAATCATCAGGTCTTGGCCCATGGTTCTGTGACATTTGCAAATTCGGTATGTGTTTCTCTTGCAACTGCTGATAATAATGCATCTAACTTATCGAGCGAGTGAAAGCGAATTTTCATGTGGCTTGTATTGTCCCAGGATAAGAACTTGTGATGTTGTTGGAAAATCTGACCTGATGTTCAACATTTCTTGCCAAAGAACGTCATCAAGCATAGTAGTACCAAGCAGAGCAGTAAAGACACGCTTCCAGTGTGCTCTGTGCTTCAAGTCCTTGAAATGGAACTTTCTTCTCAGGATTTGCTGTTATTGCTGTGTGAACATGGACCAAAGAATTGTATTATACTCAGGAAGAAATATGATCTTAAGATCCCAATACTTGTATGTTTTACCTGCATTCTCCATTTTATTTTCTGTTATTTTCAAATCAGTCTTCCACAAAAGTGTGAGCATCTTACTTAATCCCAAAGCAAAGACTTCGTTCTCTTTTATGGCATATTTTTTTAGAGTATGCTAAAATGTTGTGGGAGATTCATGAAGGTATTTAAAAGCATTCCACTTTCCTTGAATGAAGGAATCTGTTGTTGAAAAAATGTTCGTTTCTTTGAACACTTGTTTATTATGTACGCTGTTCGCTCGCCTTGACCGTGATGTGTTCGGATTCGTATTGGATACGCAATTCGACATGAGAATTCCTCCCACCCTCCAATGAGTCAACTAGGCGAAGCGGATCTCCTTGCTGGGGTGATCCTCAGGAAGTTTCCCTCTTTCCTCCACTCCACCCAGATATGCAGCGGAAAGTTCTTGGTTAAGATTCAGGGGAAGGGAGTTCACGATTCCTTGCTTGAAGACTGACTATTTAGTTGTAATGGACTGGGGCCGTATTTATATTAATTTCTGAACTTGAGACTAAGAAACCGCTTTAAGTATAAGTCATTTGTCTCAGCAAAGCTATGCATTTTGGAATTCTAATACCTTCTTAGCAACCAGGCGAGTTGATGGGAGTCCCACGGGCAAAAGAAGGCGCCCTCCAACTATGCCAACAATAGCGCCTTCTTTTTTTAATCGCGTTCCGAAGGCCTGTACGTCGCAACAATGAAATGAACTCGCCGTCATATTCAATGCAAAAGGGTATATATTTCTTCATAAATTGAAAATGAGGGGCATTTCCCATCCCCCAGCAGGTTAACATCGAGCATAATACTTCAGACAATACTAGGGTATAAAAACGAATTGGGGGAATGTGAAAGCCCTATTTAAAAAAAAGCAGTGTGGAAGCATGAGAGATTTGAATCCATGAGGAAGACGGATTCTCTTCGAACGCAGAAAAAGCATTGCCTGAAAAATCCGTCCATTCGCGAATCCCGAGCGGGAAGGGAAGCACATGATGGACCGATTCCCTCAATGAGCTTGAGTGCATCACAGCAAAACGGGGGGTCCATCCCACCGACATCACACGCAGAAAGCACTGGTTTATTTAAATAATAATGGGTTTGTGTCTGGGAGCGGGAATTCGAGAATATTAATTAATTCCTCCCCCTCCCTCCTCACACGCTTCTTCTGTCTACGCCTGTCTTTACAACTTTCTTTCCTTATTTTTTTTTTTCATGCTGGCCCACCCCATAAAGAGTTCATGGCAAAAGAGCAATCCTCCGTAGAGTCTGAGTATAAAATAAAATAAAGATTTTCGATTCGTTAGGAAATCCGTGAAGTGGCTTCGACGTCGAAAACTTTAAAAAGAATAACTCGAAGAAGGGGAGAGTGGAAATTGGAAGAATTGAAGGAGCAGGTAATTCGAGGAAAATCCCACCCTGCTTCCTGTTCCCAGGCACATTCCTCATTTTATCTTCTAGTCATTTTCGTAAAACCGCGAGGAAACTTCTTCGGGAAACGAAGCCACTCGGTCGATCGCATCACGGAGATTCCCGGCCGGCGACGACACAGCACGCCCTCCGGACTCGTCCGAGCTCGGATGGACTCAGACGGGCGTCTCCTGTGTCCCCGCCGCGCTCAACCGACTGAGCTGCTGCCGGTACCTAGGTCGATTCAGGTTCCCCACGCACACCTCCGGCGCGAGGAGGGTGAAGGTGAACACCACCGCGCAGATCCAGGCGGAGCTCAATTTCATCCACACGCTGGTCCAGTTTCGGTTGAAATGCAGCAGTTCCGCTTCTCGTGGCCTGCGGAAGGGGAACAACGGGGATGCGTGCATCAGAGATTTCGTCCGGGATTCGCTCACGAATTTTCCGACTCGAACCGATTTGAACTTTCTCAGAGAACGCTTCGGAAACTTGTTTCGCGAAAATTTAAGCAAGTGTTACGGGTACACCGTCTGCCCGAATCGACAACGTCATCGATCTCGTTCCTTGGCGAATAATTCCGCGGAATACGAACAAAACAAGAGAGGGATCTGGGATGCAGACGAAGCGAAGGAGAGAAGGAACACGACGGACCGGAACCAATGGGTGAGCTGAGCCGACGCGTAGAAGTAGGCCAGGATGAGAAGGAGATGAAAGAGCGGATAGGAGTAGGTACTCTGCTTCGCCTCGTCGTGGATCATCCTCTGCCCGTACGACGAGACCTTCCTGGCCGGTGGGGCTCTCTGGTCTTCCTCTTCCGCTGCTGATACTCCTGGGAGACGAAGGGAAATGAAGTACTGATTAGATTTACAATTTGCAATCTGCAACGTTCAATGCAACTGTTTACGAATGAAAGAGCCGGTCAATAAAAATGGAAGAGTGAAGGAAATGAAACCATTCGCTTTAGTCAGCCTTTACTGGAACATGAGTTTCGGCATTCATCGAGCGAGGATGAAGTACAAACGCCGTGATGACACGAAGAGATGCATACTCAAGAAACATACAGACGATGGACCGTCATCAACACACCATGAGCTGGTGCAACACGGCCATCGCCAGATAGCGGGACACGTGCTACATGTCCCAATCACCGCCAACGCCCCACTACCCCCTGAGCCCTCCGTTGGGGGCTTATGTATACATATCGTACTAGTGATAAGGGGAATTCACACCCTGACCTACTGTTTCTTCACGCTTCTTTGTTCCCATAGAACATTTCAACGTTTGAAATCTTCCAGAAACTTAGACTTAGATCAAAACATCACAATTACACTTGTTCCTAATATCGGTTCCCAAGTATAATGAAAAGAGGACATGCAAAGGGAAAAACGATATCGTCATATCGAGAATGCGTGTTCAGAAGTGGCGTTGAGACGTTTCAAGGGAATATTGGCTCCATCTAGCGGAGGAATTCATCATTGTATCGATATACACGGGAATGCCTACAGACCTCTGAAACGGCTGTCTGCACCGCGCCAAAAGGTTCTTACCGCCACAGTAATTTTAGGAATATATTTATTCTTCACCCTTATTACAAAGCACGTCGAGCCTAAGACGAAACCTCCTATCTAGGATTTCATTTCGGGGGGGGGGGGATGAGGTCTAGTGTACACACTGTGGCTATTTTTTTAATACTTGTCATTGGAAGTCTTTTTGACATATCTGGATTTTCCTGTAAGTTGCAGTGTTTAATAAGTCAAAAGCTATTAAAGATATAAAAGACCAAGTTCTGCACTGTTTACACCGACAAATAGCGGTATGGCAAGAATTTAAGGAAGATATTTCGGGGCGGGGGGGGTTTGAACCCCATGAACATTGCCTCCCCCCCTAAATACGGCCTTGCGCCAGGGGTGCACAACATACGGTCCGCGGCTCGCCATGATTGGTGGCGTTGTAAGTGCTTCTATGGCTCCTGCCCCGTTGGCCACAGCTATGGTCAGCCAGTTGCGGGCCGCAGTAGGTGAGAAAAATCGGAAATGGCCCACACAGCCATTAAAATCGTGCACCCCTGTCGTACACTTTACCCACAAGGAGGCAGCCCACCGGCGGACGTTGCACCCCAGTAGCGAGATTCTCCGCGTCAGGAAGGAATCCGCCAGTGCAGTGACTGGACCGCCTCCAGCTTACCATCTTCGAGCTACTTGGGGTACATGCACGCATAGATGCGACCTGGAGAGATCCATACCTCCAACCCTGAGATGATTACTTCGATGCCAGTACGGTACCAGCACTACTACATCTGCCCCTCATATTAGCGACTGTCTTTTACGTCAAGGCACTCGTTGGATATTATCTTACAGCATAATAGTACCTTTAAGCAATAATTTTAGCTGCGAATGGCCCTTTACAAAACGATTCCTCACCCTGACAAATCCAGTTCCCGATCATCTCTGACAAGTTCTTTCAAAGTTATTCTAAATGAGATCGGCGAAATAGGTACTTGCTTAAAGTGAGCTGAGGAAGAGCTTAGGGAAGCGCATTCTCGCGACGTCACAAAAGGAAGTCCCCCCCCTTATTATCCAAGGTATATTGATAGATCTATCCATCTATATATACAGGATGATTCAAAATTATGTATAAACTCTTTGAGTTGTTTTATCTTAAAATGTTTATTACTTAAACACAAACCAAAAATAGTTCTATATGCATTAGATATGTGGAAATGTGATACACGGAAAAAGTTAGGTCAGATGTTCAAAATGTCCACCACTGGCACGCATACACAAACAGCATCATTTCTTAACACCTCCACATACAGTGGCACACTTGTCAACTGTGATTTTACGTGATTCCTGTTGTATCATGTCCCACAAATTCTGCACTGTTTCAGGTTTATAGCTGTACACTTTGTCTTTGAGGTATCCCCACCTAAAGAAATCTAAAGGGCTGAGGTCTGGAGACCATAGGGGGTATTCATGGGCCCCGGTGACCTATCCACCTTTCAGGAAATTCAGTATCCAGATAGTGAGCACGGACGTTTATGTGAAAATGTGGTGGTGCACCATCCTAATGAAAGTACACCACTGTGTCCGGAAACATGTTTCTTATCGCAGAAACTGCATCATTCATTAACAATTCCAGATAACTTTGCCCAGTAACAGTACCACTGAATCTGTAAGGTACGATTATCCCACGAGAGGAAAGTCCCATCCACACAGTAATCCCTGGCCTGGCCCTCCACAGTGAAAACCCACACATTTCTCCACAGAAAGATGTTAAATTGCCAGTGGTGGACATTTTGAACATCTGACCCAATTTTTTTTGCGCAACATATTTCCACATATGTAATGCATGTAAAACTATTTTTGGTTTATGCTTAATCAATAAACTTTTTGCGATACAACTCAAAGTGCTTATACATAATTCTGAATCACCCTGTATATACTGTATATTAATATATATATATATGTACGTATTTTGTTATCAGCTGGTGTGGTGACTGCAGTATATCTCAGACTCCACATCGTTTACTCACCGCAATGGGCTTTTGCATCACCTCGCGAGCTAACCTCCAAGGGAAACAGCATTGCAATGCTGCTTCTGGAAAGATGGGTTGTGCGCGGTGATCTGACCTCCTTTGTGATTACATTCCAAATAAGATCGATTAATCCATTTACAATAGATATTGAAAAAAAGACGACGGACTTTTAAGATATAACAAGAATTTCTGTTTTGAGGAAATGTTTGGCCAACACAATTCAGATGGGAATAAGGAAAGAAATCTCACTGGAATTTGGTTTGAGGCAGGCACGAAGGCAGCAGAACCAGAGCGTGGTGTTCCGTTCATCTGGGACTCCCCCGATGCCCAGAGATCGGGCCCGTCCCGAAGATGTGTCCAGCCTGCAACGACAAATCCATTCCTCAACTCCACAGGTTGAGAGCAAAAATATTGCCAAACGTTAGACAGAAAAAATGATTCTTTGCAACGAAATGACTGATGATGAATCATATCTCTATACGTTGAATGTGCAGAAGTTCAAGATTGATCAAGGGAGAAACTGGGACATGGATAGAATAGAGATTATGGACACCTGGCCAAAGTAATTAATAAATAAAAAAACAATATGAGTGTAACTGACATCACAGGCAACAAGAGAGGTATTTCATTTGTAGGTCAGTACTCCAGGATCCATTTTGATCGAATTAGGTCAATATTGTTCTTCTATTCTTACAATCCCTCTGAATTGTTCTCTCTGCTTAAGTCACAACTAGATCGGTCTCATATTTCACATGTGCCATGCAAAACCACTTTCCTACATGGTATGAACTGAAACCACATTGCAATTGCTGCTGTTATGCAGAGATTTTACAGGTGTAGGATAGCAATATCTGGCAAGGGAGGTGCAAATGGACATCCTGGCACAGAGTGTCAGAATTAACTTGACTAAACTCAAATTAAACCTGAAATGGAAAAAAAAAATTCAGAAAGGAGGTGAGGAACAATAGTTAAGAATTTCCAAAATTACCAGCTTTTGAGCCAAAGTAGTTTGGGAACCAGTATTTTTGTTTGAAGGGTCACTTTGCCCTTCCTCTGCAAAAACTTAAAGAGGGCATATCTCAAAGACCGTTTGTTCGACCTGAACTGTTGGAATATCAGATTTACCATTTTCTCATAACATCCATGGTGGTATCTTTTTTTTTTAAATCCCAGTCAGTGGTGCAACCACCTTTGGATCTTTTGACATGGAATGATGTACTCATGTTTTCGCATTGTTGTATACACATTATATAAAGAATACTCTGCTTGAGAATCTATAGTTATTAAATCTCAGACATTTAAGGATGAGAAGTATAAGTTAATGGTACTTCACCATGGAGGTGTACTTGATGTACCTGGACAACAAGGAGCAGTGCACTTCATTGATAAAAGACAGGTAAAATTGTTGACCTTTTCCCCTTGAATTTCGTCATCCTTCCCATTCAGCAAACCCAGATGGATAGATTCCTCATCTGCTTGCAAATTCAGCAGGGGAAGTGGCAATTAGCTTAGAGTGTGCATGCAACTGCAATATGACCTTGTCCCAGTGGTATCAGAAACATGCATTCCTGCAATGTACCATCAACTGCAACTGATCATTCTACCACAGGCAGTTTTCTAAGTGGAATGATTCCTTCTTGGTGTGATTTTGCATTGGATAGAAATGAAAATGCATCCAGAGCCCCCATTTGCATTTGTACTTAATATCAAGAGGCAGAGCAGAATATCTCTGGTATCTGCATTGGGAATAAAATAATAAGGTTTACACAGTGTTGATGATGGTGAGGAACATGATGATGAGCCCGGCATAAGACATGAGGACGGTTGGCAAGGACTGGGGGGAGTCATCTTCCTGAGGTTTGCTCACGAGGGCATTCCAGGTCAAATAGAGTATGTAGAGCGAGATGGCAGAGGCCTGGACTAGGCCTGACCCCATCCCTCCTGTGCCTGCAATCACATAAATATCCTTTTGTGAGCATGGAGGGATGGAAAGAATATGGATGCAAGGAAGGAAGCAGTGTCAAGGCTCACTGTGGGCACTGCAGGGGAGAACAGAGAAGAATCCAAGGATGAGGATCAGGGCTATGTGACTCAAGATCACAATGAAGGAGAACTGGGAATGGGGAGGAAGTACTAGGTATTTCAGTTCCAGGATTCCTCCCAATATTGCTACTCCATATATAAACACTCCCAACACCAGGGAACCTAATGGAAAATAAAACAGTCACAGCATGCAATGAGATGCTTCTGCTATTCCCAGTGTTAGGGAAAGGCATGACTTGTACTTCATCAAATCAAAGAAGAGATTGGCCCCTTAAAAACATCTTTTGGCAATAGGGTCATGGAAGCACAACCAGAACCATTTTCATCATTCCTTGATTATGTTCTTCATGTTGAATTCCATGATTCCATGACCATGATGACACATTGGTAGGAAACCATGACCCACCTTAACAACTGCAAAGCAATCTGCAGCCTGCTACAGACTTAAAAGCTATATAATTTTGTTTGTCTAACTGTTAATTATTTGTTAATTTATGGATACTTGTCATGGCCCACCAGTTGAGAACCACTGCCCTAGAGCTATAAACCGTATGAAGTCAGAACCAAAGAAAATTGAGAAAATTTTTGAAATATGGATTATTCCATGCTCATATTTGGTCCTTGAACTGCATTCATGAAGAATTTCATCGCAAAATGTCTACGGTTTTGGAGAATTTTTGGAACAGCAAACCCTGTCAAAATATTTTAGCTTCTTAATGACTGGCTTTACAAAAGAATAAACACTTAAATGACACTATTATCTGCCAGATTACAGAACAGTACAAGACCCATGATTGCATCAAATTTCAACATTTAACTCTCCAGAGTTTTAATGAATTTTAAGAATACACATCTATCCATCCAAACATCCACCAGGGTAAGATCTGCTTTTGCTTGCAAAAAGTAAGGGGATGTAGAATAAAGAAAGTCAGCATACAGGAGAAAAAAAAAAAAAACAAAATAATATATAATGCCATGACATTGAATGAAGACAATTTTGAGTAAAGATGAGGAAAATTTGTAAAAATGGTGCATTAACACGTTGACGACCAGCCTATTTTTGCTTGTCCGCCACGTGGGGCACTGGTTGCCTCGTTGCAGCATGGGCGTAAGATTTCTCTAGCTAATGAAGTGTACCTTTGTGGCGATTTTTAGAATGACTTAAACAGTGGTTTATTTGAACCAACAACCTTACAGATATACTCTTAAAAAAAAATCTGCATCCTGGCATCAGGACGCATTGTCGCCAACGTGTTAAAATAGGAGTCAAAATATAGAGACACAGAAATACAAAGAAGTATAACACTATACTGTACAGAAAGCACTGTTCATGACAACAGAAAGAGAGATATTGGATGAGAGGAAAGGGCAGACAGACCAAAGTTGGCAATGCAGGGGGAGCAACGAAGTCGACCCATGCAACGGTCGGTGAGGGAATTCATGAACTCAATGAGGAGCATAGTCTGAAGAAAGACGAATCCCAGTCCACCCCCCGCACATGCAACCATCCATGCAAATGTCACATATTTCATGTTTGAATGGAATGGGAGACGGAAGAAGAGGAAGAGGAGCCCCACGAAAAATAGGATTTTGATCCCCCAGTACCCATTGTGGATCCCACCTCGACAACTTCCGCTCTTCTTCACTCCTGTTTGGAGAGCAACAGGAACAAGATGATAGACCAACCTACCTTCTGGTGTCTCTTTAAAGCAGAGGAAATATAAATCAGCTGGGATACCTAGGGTCAAGAGGAAGAGGAGAATGTGGAAGGCTACGGCAGCCATGGAGAGTTTGTAGACAGCCAAATAGCCCATGAGATCTTGACACAATGGATCCGATGAAAGAAGCAAGCATGTCACATTGTACCATACTGGAGCCTGAAAATGAAAATTTGATTTGAATAGCCTTGCATCCAACACTTCACAGCAACATATACTCTCTGAAATTAGTGAAACATTTAGTAGAAATTACTTTTCCTACAGAGAACAACAATATAAGCATGTAATAGGAGGAGAGAAGATCTGTCCCAAGTGGGGTGAGGAGTTCTTTGCTTCCCATCAGAGACAACAGATGTGAAGAATAGAGGGAAGCAGGTGAGCCTCTAACCTGTCTCCTATCCCGCAAGAGCCTCCTCTGAAGTCTGCACATGCAGTTTTTTGTCTGCTGAAACTTTATGATGAACTGATTTTGAATGAAATTCTTATTTGTCTATTATCTGTCCATCGATGTCACTTTTCATCCCACAACTTCCTATAGTTTGGAAGTATTTTCTTAAAAACTAACCCTACAAGAACCATACTTTGATTTGGTTCAATCATTTCTCAACAATGTACATATTTACCAAGTTGCCACAATGGCAATTCCAAATCTTAACTTATCGTTGTCTCAGATGTCTTGAAACTAGGGCTGTCAATTCAAATAATTTAATCGACCAATTAATTTATTTAAGCATTAATAGCGATTTTAAAATTTAGTCGAAATTAATTGAATTTTAATCAACCTCCTAATCTCCCCCTGAATGCCTATTTTTCTTCATTATAATTTTACCATACAGTATTTAAATTGATTAATCAATCAATAAAATTGATCAAATTGACAGCCCTACCTGAAATATACACCCATCAATTGATCCTTGGATCCAAAAGGGTGGAACCAACCTAACAGCTTTCACTAAGATGCAGCTATGGGAAGAAAAACCCCATCTTTGGACAAAGAAATTTCAGTTTTGGATCAGAACTTAAACATGAGTCACTTCACTACCGTGGTAAATTGTTCTTCCCCCTCTGAAGCATTAACACACTCTGAGCCTTATATCATAGTAAGAACTGTAGCACAGGATGTGCCTTTCAGGGCTATTTAATTTTTCCCTCAGTCAGTTCATTTTTCTTCTCTTTTCTCCCTTTTGACTAAGACATCTGTTATTTTATCAGATTTTTTCACATCTTTCATGCACTTGTGGATAAACCTGAGGGTCATCTTTTGTCTTCAAATTGTTAGTTTCCATTTTTAATAGGAACTTATTGATCTAAGGGATCTCTGTTGACTTTTTCTTATTGATACAGTTTAAAGCAAAGGCCGATCAGTTTTCCTTCTGCTAAAGAGATGATCTCACATAATCAGCTCCTCTATGTTCAGTACAGAAATTTTCTTCAAAGAAGTACTGGGTGGGCCAAAAAAAAGGTAACTGAAACTACAATATAATTAAGGATGATTTGATGCATCTATACACACATTTGAAATGCATTTTGCCTGATCCATAGCTTTGAAAATAGTGTTTAACAATTCATACATGCTCCTAAACAGAATACTGAGATATGATAATTATCCAATGTTACCCTGAAATAATCATTTAAAAAAGACTCACTTTCAGTTACCTTTTTTTTTTGGCCCACCCTGTACATGAATAACACAATATGCCTTTTTGGTGGGTTTACATTTAATTTTTCATTTGGTAAAAGTAAAAGTGTGATATGTAACTGAAGCAACAGTTCTTTCTCAGTTACATAGAAAATATTCCCATTCTTTCTCATCATAGAATAGACAAGAAGAGAAGTGTATGATAAAAATATTAAGTCTGAGTGCAAACAGCTCCTTAGGGATGGCAGATTCTGGCCACTTATTCACTCATCTCTCCATAAGGGATTCTTAGGTCCCTCAATATTATTTCCATGGTTTTACAGGCACCAGATTTACAAATCCAAGAGTAAACATCGGTACTCAATGATATGGATATATATTTCATGGACATTATGTTTACCAAAACATTCTGGATTGTGCTAGTCGACTGACTCAACCTTTTCATGCTTCAAGATAGAAAGAACATATACTCATCTGAGATAGAGAATAAAATGAGAGAAAGGATGGGAGGAGAGGTAAGAAGTGAACGAACAGAGACAGCAGCAGACTGATGAAACTCGGAGTATGTGGCTATCGACATGAAAAGGAGGGTGAGGAGCATAAAAAGGAGATAGACCAGGCGGGTGCTAGTTGATTCTCGTGTCTCAGGGCAGCAGCCACCCAGGCAGCATCGCCATGCTTCTCCTCGACAGCAACATCCCACCTGGAGTATGCCAGAACTACCAGTAATGCACAAAATCAAAATGGACAATCACAAAGGGGAACTGACCTGCCCACGAATGTAGGCTTCACAGGCACCCAGATCCCGGTCCCCTCCATCCATCTCATCCTCCTCTTTTCCTCTCCATGCTCATCTAAGAGCAATGTTGCATACAACATCCCATTCCTTCATAATTCAAGTTCTGTCTTCTATGTAATATAAAACTTAAAACAGCCCACTTAATTATTATACCTAGGTAATTAATTGATCAATTGAGTTGTTTTAATTGCATAATAAATGCAATAAATTCAATATAAGTGGCTACAAAGTCTCCACAGCACCGTGTCACAGCTATGCTGGGTGAGGCATTTCTCACTCATCATCAGTACAGTATCAGATGCACTTGAACACAAACTCGCAAGGGGTGGCCCAAAGTGATAAGCAATAATTTATTGCAGATTTTCTATACACATCATATTATGCAACACTGTATGCAATACATCCAACAAATCCATTTATTTTCCAGATTATCTCCATTGCCAATTCATATCTGTTATGGTAGTACCAATTTTAACATAATGTATTCTGGAAGAGTGCTGGTTTTATCTGAATCCACATCTGATTTGCTGCTTGCTCAGTGGTGAGGCTATCATAGTGGACAAGCAGTGCATCTTTCAAATATGGATCTTATGCAAACTTCACTATCATTTCCTCATGGAGGAGACCATTCTCACTTGATGGGACTGCATCCATGGACTTCACAATCACATCACAAACTAATGATATCACTCATCCAAAAGCAAGACAACATGAAATCACATTGCATAGGAAAATATTGTCAAATTCCCTTTTGACCACTCCTAGTACAATCCCTCAATGGGATCAGATAATTAGTATTATTTACATTGACCTCATCAAGCTATTCCATTCAGAATAATAAAATAGCAATGACATCTGGCAGTATACTGGATGATGTTTCCTTCACCTTTAGGAATGCTGTGTTTCTTTTGGTCATATTCAGGTAGCTGAATGGTCAATTAAAATTCAAGCACTCAAATTAAGCAACAAATAATTTCATTTCTTCTTATCAAGTAGCAGCTCTAATAAAATTCCATTACTGGTTCGAGAATTTCTTGGAAGCCAATACTGCAAAGACAAGCTTGCAGTTCCAGGGTTCCCCTGTTCTCAGCTCAAGTTGTGCATTTATCAGCAAAACACTTAATAAAAGACATGGGTATTGGGGAAGCATGCAGCACATGACCTTTATTTCAGATTCTCTTGGTCAGGTAGTCAAACTGCTCCATGATAACAAACAAACAAGCACACAAACCTTACTCATTAACATAATGCATTTGTATGCAAGGGAGGAGGAGAGCAAGATGCAACAATTTGTTACTCTGTGGAAGTCATGATATTCAGTGGTATTCATGATCTGATCCTCCCATATACACACAACACATCCCTTCCTGAGAACACATGTCTCTCCTAGAGGTCAACTCTGCCTTCTAGGCCTCGCCTCATGCCACTGAGAAACATTTTTGAGATTGTATTTTTCTTCATGTCAGATCATTTAGAGCAGGGATGCCCAACCATTTCAATAGGTGAGGGAAAAGTGGAAAGTGAGCTCCTAAGGAGGGTCATCTTTGCTTTGCCAAGCAACCACTTGGGTAGGAAGTCTCCTGTTTATTGCTTATGATCAAAACAGTTACATGCATTACATAAAACTAAAATTTTCCCAAGGAAACCCTATGCTGGAGACAGTCACCTGTCACCAACTAATCCTTTGGTGTGCAGAGCTCTCAGGTGAATAACTAGTTCCTCACAAGTAACAGGTTGGGCAACCCTGACTTCGAGAAATCAAAACTACTCTACATCGGAAGAGGGGGGAGGCACAGTGGAATACTGCCAGGGTCCAGCACCTCATCCTTTACAGATACAGAGCCAAGCAGTAAAAAATAAGTCAAGACCATTGAAATTATGACCTGAATGAGAACAGGGAAAGCTCCCTGTTTTCAGAGGGAACTTCCAGGAAAGTTCCCTCTGAACTTCAGAATATTTTTTACAAAGGAGAAAATTGCCTCTGAGAATCATGAACACTGTTTAGGCTAGTCCCTTTGGGATGAGATCAAAATAAAAAAATCAAACAGGCTCTGGGTGAGTTATTAAAATCAGCAGCTGGATGTCTACACCTCAGCTTAACTCAGCACATCCCACACCAGCCTAGCTGGCATGAGCAAATCTGTCTGAGTGGATGACTTTAAAATTGCACCCTCTCTGAAACCAACTAGAAAGAGACTCGTGAATCCAACTCTATTGCACTCAGTTTCCCTGACTCAAGCAGATCGCATGAAGGAACACGGTTTTCAAAAATGTAAAAAAGAAGTGACATATCAATCAATGCAGGGTAAAAGCGAAGCAATTTGACACATGAGAAAACCAAGGAAGCGCCTAGAGAACACCTAAATTATGCATGTGAGATGATTATGCATCACAGAGATTCCATCTGAATCATTCTAGACTACTTGAAAAGTAGAGCTCTCAGAGAGCATGAGGTTTCCTTGACTCTCTGGTCTTGTCATTTAAATGCCATGGGAATGTGACTTTTGAAGGTGTCTTCAGCATATAAATATGATCCAAGCAGTCCATGACTAAGAAAAAAAGGGTAGAGGTGATGGAAGGTGATTCATGTCTGGATGGCGGTGAGCATTTCTCGATGGATCGAGCCAAGTTCAGCAAGCCTATGTCCAAGCTGATGAGCCAGGGTCTCGAGGACTCGACGTTGGGATTCCTGGGCTGCCAATGCTGTCTCCAGCTGCTGATTCAACCGCGTTATTGTCCCTTTCAGGGATTCATTCTCTTCCTGCACCACCTTCATTGCAACACAAATCACAAACCAAATATGAAAATACATACCAATAAAAATAGCTGGAAAAAATGTCCTTATGCCCTTGAAAGCAGCAATCTTATGAGTTTTTGGAAGCTAGACGTAAAGTTAGGACTCCCAATGCAACATGGTTAATTGAGTGGAGTATTAATCGCAATAAAAATAATTAATCTGGCATAAATAACTCTCTAATTACCACTATAATGGTTCCTACCCATGTTAATGGTTGCATATTTCATTCCCTGCTGATTCCTGTGACATGCCCAAAAACTGATACTGAAAAGCAATAAGTCAGAATTCCACATGGCATTCCTTTTGCAAGTATTTAAAAATTGATGACACTATGGTCAACTCTCAGCTGACAGCACCAAATCATGTATTCTGTCTCCTTTAGGCTTTCATCCTTCCTCTGTGATTCAGGAAGGGAATTATGAGTGAATCACCATTTGCTTACTTGATAAGTCTGTCAAAGATCAATTAAGTTATCATTTGTGAGTGCCCAGCAGCCAGAATTACAATGTTAACTAATTTCAGAAAAAAATTTCTTGCACAAAAACCATGCATCAGCAAGAGAGAAAAATACAGAACACAACATCTAATTATTCCAATGTATGAATTATGCTTTACATGGTTCATTGCTTTTCCCCCTCTACAATTTTTTTCACAATTCACATCAGCTGATGGAAATGAGATCATGTGGCTGCCCACCAACCCACCAGCTGAATCCTTCCATTGGTTATCTGTGAAAAAAAAGGTACCTGGCTCTATCCAGTTTTCTTTCCAGAAGGCTAGGATTGTCTCAAATATTGAAGTCTTCCTTCCCCTTCCCTTCTTTCCTTACTCTCTCATTGCAACCTCTACAGAGTCCCAACATCACTTATGTAACAGAAAATTTAGTTTCTGACACTCCCCCTCTTGGTTTGCTGACGTATCTTGATTTGCCATGCATGATACCACATTTATATTACAATTACCTGGGATGACATCAATGCATAAATGGACCCTTGCATTCCTAGCAGAATCTGAAACAGCAAGCAATCAGTTGGATGCAACAGAAGAGAAGGCCGACCTTAATCTTGTCAGCATCAGCAGCAGGTCGGGCAGAAGCCTCAGCTGCATGTCGGGTCAAGCGGCGAATCTCGTCATCTTTTGTCTTCATTTCCATCTCCAGATTCTCAGCTTTCGTCCTCAATGCATTCATCTCCTTGTGTAATTCCACAGCTGCCTCTTGGTTCCCTGCATGAAAAAATTTCAAATAAATGCAAGAATGGAAATATAGTCTTAGAGAGTTTCTGATTGTAAAAGATGCAACAATTTCTTTAAAAAGTACCACAGAACATAATATTACAAAGGTTGATAGGTGCCTTCAAACTTGAAACCAGAGGAATACTGGCATATCCTATTATGTGCACAGGCTAAATAAATAGCAGACCAGAAGAATTCTTGCAAAATATATATATTCTTATGCAGCAGATGGCTATGTGCTCTTCTGAGAATCGAATGGGTGTCTTAGGATGAAGCACCAGGGACATCTAAAGGACAGCTATTGCTGTCAAATTTCTCATTACAAACTGACCCTTTGCAGCCTCGACCTCAATGATTCGAGTCTTGAGCCGCTGATTCTCCTCCTTGTAGCTGTGGAGCTGACGTTTCCACTCCTCGACGTTCGAGGTGGATTCCTGGAGGGCACTAGTGAGCCTGGCATTATTGTTCTTCAATGTCTGCAGCTCCACCTCCCACTTCTTGGCATTTGCTGAGCTGCTCACAAGAATAAAAAAAATTATGTCTAGAGTGAACTCCATAGCAAAGAACATTTAAAAATGAGCGAGGAAAAAGACCTTTGAGCAAGAGCAAGCTTCAAGCGCTCATTTTCATATTTGAGCTGGTTCTCGGGGGTCCCACTGATGGCTGGGGAAGCCCCCATCTTCCCATCTCCCATGGTAACTGGCTTCTTCGGACTCTCAGACTAAGGAGAGAAAATAAAAATCATTTCAATACAATGTGGAAATACACCACAAACCAAACTTAACGAAAAAAAGTAAGATTGTCTTGGAACGTGTGATTCTGAATGACCTATTTGAGGAAGTCTCAATTACGAGGAAATTCCGATGATATACCTTGTATGCAATGAGCACATGTCAATGTGAGGAAGAGAAAAAATATGGAAAAATGAAGAAAACAAGGAGAGTGCGACAGATATGGAAAGACTTGAACCTGAACACCCGTGAGACTGTGGCTCCTCTGATGAGCAGCGGCAGCGGCAGCAGCGGCGGCTGCAGCGGCAGCAGCCGAGGAAGGAAGCCCTCCCTTAGGCAAGGTGGCCGAGTTGACCGTCATATCACCCGGCGGGCCCGTGATGAGGTGATCCCCGGATCCCGCCGACACTACCGTCACGTCATTGTTCATCATACTAGCGGGTGGAGCTATCTCCGTCCCATTGGCAGTTGAGGATGCTAGTTTCGCCGCTCCTGCAGCTGTTCCAGCGCCAACGGTGGAAGGGCCTGAGCTCTGTCGAATCGCCTCCTTCACCTCTTGGAACTTCTCAATGAACTGCAATATTTTGACACAGCGATACAACATCAGTTACACCTCACTTCCTATCAAATAGGTACAGCATATCCCAAATGTCATCATGATTACTTTTAGTCATGCCATAAAGAACGTAATCATCGTGGAGGATCCCCTAGCCAAGTCCTAGGACGTGACGAGACGCTATGATTTTGGTAATATGCGACTGCTCACAATAGAGAGCATATGCTATGAGCAGGCGATCAGACGATTACGAGAAGACCTTGAGACTTTCGAAGAACTTCTCTCCTGCAAATTCATTTTCTCTCAAGCGTAATGCATTCCAATGCTCCTGACCGCATCAGATTGGAAGTTACAGACAGCGAATGGTGGTACTAGAAACCACAGAGTGGTTATTCGGAAACCTGTCGAGAACATTTTGTGAAAGCTACTACTCACAAATCCGAAGACATGGTTAGCTTAGAAAGTGGCTATAAAGAAGGCGAAAAAAACTGGTTTTAAATATCCCGTTTCGGTTCCTGCCATAGCATTTCGCCATTTCATCCTAAGAAACCCCCGGTGAATTCACCCAAAACTTATGAGACATGCCAGCAAGATCTGCATTCTGATATCCTCCTTAAGCCGTCTTCCAAAACAATGCCCGTCCATTACGGATTTCAACTGCTTAAATGGCATGACAGACATCTGGCGGGACGGGAAGTGGAGCGCCATGCTCACTGACCAAGCCAATCGGCGGGGATCTTTCCTATGAGTGATCCTGGGAAATTCGAGGATTCGAGGCCCTATAAGTTGGCGTGGGACTCACTCGTCTGTATGTCGAGCTCATTGTCGCAAAGAGCAAAGAGCAAAAGCATGGCGTCTGGTAACAGCATTACACAGCAGAGATGGAAAAAAAAAAAAAAAAAAAAAAACAAAATTAAGAATAAATAAATAAAAACAATTTAAAAAAAAAAAAAAAAATAAAAAAAAAAAAAAAAAAAAAAAAAAAAAAAAACAAGTTTAGGAATAAATAAATAAACACATTTTCTCATAAATAAGTCAGAACCTGTACTGTACAAATATGGAACGAATCTTCAGTATTTTGAATGAAGAGAGATCAAGCTGAAAATACAGGATACTTTCCCCTCGCTAGAGGGAATTCGTTCAAACAAAGGGTATCATGGCAATCTAGCATGAAGAGTGGATAAACAAGACAGGCTCATCAGGCTTATGCCTACTTTCAAGACCGGAATATTCTAAATGAAGGCTGCCCTTCCCAAAGACCCCCGCAGAGACTTAAGTCACATACGCTGTCCTCTTTCCAACTGATACTGATACAGATCCAGATCCATCCTGATACAGATAAATCCCCCATCCCTCCCTCCATCGAAGAATGAGAGAGAAACCCGGCTCTCTTCATCTGTAGGTCGAACGAGACGAGCCTCACCTTGTTGAGATCGGCCTCGTTGGCGAATCCCAACCCGTAGACGGTATTCGCTCTGATGTCCGACCACTGGCCGAACTTCTGCGACGTCTTCGTGAACGTCATGTTCGGCGTCACCGTGCTATTGATCACAGCCTAAAGGGAAAAAAAAAAGAATGATGCAGGCGAGGATCCAGACGAGAGAGCGAGGCCACGGATCGCCGCTGTACCTTGGTTCCCTCGACGGAGATGATGCGGTAGAGCTGCCTGGAGGAATCATAGAAGAAAGACACGGGCACGGCCGTCGTGGAGGCAGACAGCCAGGAACGCTTCGTCTTCGGGTCGATATGAAACACGTGCGCCTTCGACGTGAAGATCGGCTGCTCCCTGTAGCAAATCACACGCATTTTTAACGGGAGGAATTTCACGACGGTTCACTCAACGATGAAAATGTCGACTCTTATGCGAGAAGCAGTAAGTACTAACTAACCCAGTTAATAATAAGTCCATTATAGAGGGTGTCCACGAATCCCGAGAGCTGGCTTTTCAGAATTTTTCAGGTTAGACAAATATTGACGTGATCCTTTGTGATCTTCGGCCGGCTAACGCCCCGTTTCACCACTTGCACGGATATCGGATACGAGTGACTCACACACGTCACTAGGACAATCTTCCCGTCACGTGCCTGAGTTGTGCAGCTCGGTCGTTGGGACTGCGAACCGAATATTTTATGCTACGATTGCTGAAGAACCGTAGACGGTGCAACGGAAGAAAGGCAAGGACACAGATGGAATGGGGAGAGCGTATCATACGCCTACTGGAGCAGAGGTGAATGGCTAGCGGTTCTCTCCTTCAATGGGTTACGGTTTTTTTTTTTTTTTTAGCGGAAGGGCTCCAACGATCACGAGCCGAATTTCATAACTTTCCAATCGAGCATGAAGGAAATAGGGCTATCGCGAAATTCAACGCTCGGGATTCATGGAATAGGGTTTAGACACCTTAGTACGCGCTCTACTCCTATAGCATTGTACTCAAAGGACCAGTCTGACAGCTCAGTCTTTAATTGTTGCATTTCTCATTATCAGTTTCCATTCCTACCAACCAACTGCGGGACCATCACCAACCAATTTGCTTATTGATTCCACTTCTCTTCTGTAAAACTGTTCTGCATAGCTTACAACCTCTCGTGTCCCCCCCCCCCCCCAAAAAAAAAAAGTATACTATTTGTATCATCACTATTAATATCGTCATAATTACTTATGAGAAGTATCCCTCCTATTGACGAACGCCATCTACAGCGTTAATGGTAACAGACGTGAATAAAAAGTCGGCCGTCCACTTTGACGGACGGCAAACCGGAGTTGATCTTCAAGGCTAGAAGGGTTACACCATACCCCAAGGGTTACTCCATACCAGATCTGTGAGGAATAAGAAGGCCGTGTTCTCGAGCATGTCATTCCGTCTTTCTTCCACTTAATTCCGGTATGAGATCTCGCAGGCAGATTCAACAGGCATGCACCAGGTAAAACGCCCTGACATTTTTTAATTTCTGCAAATCAGATGGAACACGGACTGCAACCCTACCAATCTTGGGAAAATTCACCAAAAGACAAAGAGTGAAACAATTTTCGTTGTCGACCCATAAAAGCAAACACGGCTGTTACGCCTCCTTTGTTTCATCTGACGTCACTAACACACGGCTGAAACGTAGAGAATTTCTCACAGCAGCTTCCAACCGTGAATGCGTCAAATAGGAAGCTCACGCAATGTCCCAGACAGGTGATAAGCTAAATCCCTCTGCCTACTACACCTGTCCCCTGATACAGTCGATGCGGATGACACGAGAGCTCCCACGAGAGAACGCCATCTCCGATGGTTTGGATGTACACATCCACTCGGTGTCTCATTTGCTATTCCTTTAGGGTGCTTTACGTCGCGCGGGCGTCCTCGTTTCAGCTAGAATTATAAACCTCCCAAAAAACCTACATGATTTCAAGGACTTCCTGTTCGTACTGCAGACTGGTCTTACTGGAACCAGCTTCACAGACTTAACCCTACAATGTATGATTTTTCTAACTGTACCAAAAACATTTTTGACGATCATATTTTTTCATGTGGTTGATGAGAAAAACAATGAAAAAATTATCCTTTCATTTTGATTTTTCCATTGTATTGCAATACGTTTCAATTTAAAGCGGAGCGCGCCATATCTGGCACACCATCCAGTGTAGGGTTAACACATTAACCTACTCGGAATAACTTCTCCTATCTGTAAACGGCAGATTCCACATGTTTCTTTTGATCTTCTTTCCCTTTTTGGGTTGGTACATTACTTACTTGCACGATCCTTTTGATGCAGGAAAATATTTTAGCGAATGGTAAACCTGACGGTTCACCCTTTTGTCTACTCAAAAAAACAAAATCAAAATTACGGTTTCCAAATGGATTGTGTGGGGAAAAAAGGGAACAAGACCAAAAAAAATATGCGCCTCTCGTCAGGTCAACAATAGGTCACCCATTAGAGCTCGGTCCCCTTACTTGTGATTAATAGTGTGAACTTGTCTTTCCCTCACCTCTCAATCTCTCGTTGCATTCAGTCTACGTATCTACGGAGGCTATAGAAAGTTTTTTTTTTTTCCTCTCTCTTCCTGAATGCTTGGAAAATCGACCAAAACGACGTCACCATACAAGAGAATTTTTTCGCCGCATTGAAGCGAAATAACGCTCCATCAGCAGGGGATGCGCATATGTTTGGTCGTTTCATGAGGGAAGGGACCAAGTCCATTTGCAAGTTCATTCGTCTGTCTTCCACGACGTCATTCCAGCCTCTCATGATACAGGCTTTTACTTTTAGCACATCGGTGTGCCACATAAAAAAATATACGAAGCCCTCGAAAGCGACACGAGCAATATCTGAATCCATTCGTCTTTCATCCATCGCCGTCCGGATACCCGTGGCACCTCAAGTGCTGAACATCAATCGAAAAAAGACGTTAAAGAGCGCCTGCTTCTGATAGGCAATTTCCTACTATCATGAGTCTGTTGTTTGGAATAACGCGCAAACCATGAAAAATAATTGGTACCTCTTGGAGTAAATAATCGTGCGCCCGGGTTTTGTCATCACTTCATTACTAGTAAGACATGTCTACTTCAGTTTCTACTAACAAATAAAGAGCACCGAAGCTGTATGAATAGGCATGCTCTCCTTTCATAGAAGCGATAAAGATCAAACTAAAACGCACGAAGGACGCTCGACGAAGCGCGTGGGACGAGGGAATACCCACCTTACCTCCTCACGCAATACCTCCTTCATATCCTAGCTCTTACATGATGCCTCCTATCGCATGCGGTCAGACGGAATGAAGCCCCACCCGTAAATGAGGTACCATTCATGCTGCCATGAGCTCGACACACAAGAAAATCCATCCGACAAACACCAGGATTCGTTAGTTTCCTCCTCAAATAACAACCTCTTCTCTTCCAACCTATCCCTCTTCGTTCCTCATGACTGAGATCCGGGAGGGAAGGGTAAAGGGCAAACGTAATAAGGGGGTTCCCCCTTTGACCCTTGGTAATGTAATCCCCGTCCCTTTTTTGGAAGGGGTGATGGGGGGGGGGGGGCTACAACCGGGTACATGCAAGTGACATAATGGAATCAATCGATCGATCGATGGACTCACCGGCGTCTTCCGAGCAGGAGAGTGCCCAGGTACAGTTCTTTCACCTGATCCGAGCTTAAAATTCCCACCTCTACTTCGGATCCCATCCGAATCCCTACTCATCTCTATCCTTAATCCAACCAGTTACGAAATGTACGAGGGGGGGAAAGAGAAATGATCAGATCGGGAAAGCTGCCAAGAGAAGGAAGGGAAACTAAAACGGAATCTCCATGGAGTTGCACAAGCGGAGAAATCGAATGAGTGGGCTCTGCGGGGCTCCTGGACTTCTCGTTCAACGCCACTCGCGTGTGATGGTTGCCTATCTCATAAAAAGTTTCCTTCCATGGAGCAAGAACTGTGAGGCAGGAAGCGAAATTATCTGCAAGGACACGAAACAACCAGAATACGGTAGAGAAACGGGTCTCGGAATCCAGACAGACTGCGGGAAAGGAGCCAGGAAGAGGAAGAAATGTGCTGGAGTAGAGAGAAGCGTTGGTTGGCTCATCACCATGCTCATGCTCGCGATCATGATCGTGGAGATGCAAAGCGAGAGAGGGAGGAGACCGACACGCATGCGGAATCGAACATATATGCGGCCATGGAACCCTTCCATCCCACGTCCACGTGGCCTTCATTAGACTCCATTCACATCCCACATATATTTTTGTGGGGTCCTTGCATATTAATCTTATCCCTGGATAGACTACCCTGTCAATTATTCCTTCTTGGGTACCAGCCATCAGGATCGCGATACGAGATACTGACCAAGTCAAACAATTTTGAGACTGCTACAAAATAATGTAGTTCTAAACTACTGAAGATGATATGTGAACTATATGACTAACATGGGGAGCAGCCATGCAATTTCAGAGGTAATTTTAACGGGCAGGGCTCCAGAAACAACTGGCACTGGCTGGAATCAGTGATTGAGGAAAGAGGCAGTGTGACAGTTCACTTGGGGTAGGATGGTTTAGAATTTATCCATAAAAAGCCTCCAGGCTGATTATGGAGGCTAGGAAGATGTGGGATGGATAGGTAACATGGCATATTCAGGAATATAGAAAAGATGGAACACTCCCAGTGAAAAATAAAACAGACAAATGATGAAAAGTGTGGCAATCACAAGCCACTTTCTTTGGCCTATTGAAATGAATGAATTCAGAAAAGCGAAAGCCATATCAACTTCTGTAGGAGAAGCAGGTAAGTCTTCTGAAGCAAAAAACTATACTCAATCTCAGATTTGTCTTGGGTTTGGCCTGGCTTGGTAAAGGGGTTGAGGGGTAGCACATAATGGGGTGGGTGCACTCTCATTTCATTTGGCCCATTTATTCCCTTTCCTAAACTGAAACAGGAGGATCCATTTTCCTGAAATGAAGATTGTGCCACAGTTCTGACCCATTCTCCAGTATGCCACAGCTATAAAGAGGTCATTTAACCAACAAAATTTGTGCCACTGGTCGGTCATGGGCTATGCTTCTACTGTAAATTCCTTCAGATCTGAAAACTAATGAGTATAACAGCTTGTTTAAAAGTGCATTCAGCATGTCTCATTAAGGAATACCATCTGATCTGGCTGTAGAAAGCCACTTTTAAAGCATCATTTTTACATTCCAGGACTTGCATTTTCATTAAATTTCTGAGGCAAGGAAGAATTGCCCTAAAGAATGAATTGCTTCAGTGAAGGTAAAAATTGAAATTTTCATTAGGTATTTGCAAAGATTTTTTTTTAGAGGGTGTTAAGAGGAAGTGTATGAAGATAATTTAGAGCTACATTGTTTTAATTTATGTTCCTGCATTAATGATGACATGTACTTATCAATTGAAACACAGTACTCAGAACAATGCTTATGCACTCTGTAGTTATAACAAACCCGTTTATTTGCAATGCCACCCCTGTAAAATGAGAAATAAGTCATTCCTTCAATCAGCCAGACTTGGCTTCTCACAAGATTTTAAAAAGTTGGGAGGGGGTGGAAAGAAGGGGGGTTTTGAGGTTCTCCAGCCCACCTACTGACCCACTGGAATCACACATACTCACCTCCCTGACAAATATAACATTTATTTTATTCATGGTTTCAATTAAGTCCATACTTTGCGGTTTTGATTTTTCACCCTGTCCCATTTCCATTACAGTGATTAGGTTGATTTTCAGTCAAACCCAGTTCTAGCATACTTTGACAATAATAATTCTAGTCAAGTCATGATCTAGTCATAAATGGAAAAGCTGACATGAACTCATACCATACGGACATAAACTCAAAGGCTAACCAAAACCTCTGTACATTTAGCTGCATCAAGTTCATTATACTATGGAGATTGAATGGTGGAAAAAAAGCAAGAAAGTTGAATATTCAATCATATCAAAGACCATTGAAATGTTTCTCATTCAGTCAACCATCACCATCTCACTCAGTTTTTCTTTCCTTCATGTCCTCTCTATCTATAAAGATTTGGTCATGCTTTGTCATTTGATCATAGTCCACTCATAGCTAAAACATATTTGGCTTGTCATTATTGTTGAAAAATACATTCATATTTATGAGATGCAACAGAAAATGTTTCTACATAGGAGTGTCCCATTGTTGTGCTTTGTTCTAGGACTGCTTATGGTTATCAAGCCATGTACACCTTTGTCTATGTTATCAATTGTTTGCCTAGGCCTATGTGGAAATTTCAAGACTCTTGCTTCCTGAGATTCTAAGAAACATTTACAAACAGGATTAGGGCTTGGAGACCTTCAAGTGCTATGTATTTCAACTAATGCCATTTGACAGAAGAACATGGATTTGGGTATGCCAAACGTGTGATGAACCTCTGTAATGTTTCGAATTCATATATCTAACTTAGTCTAACATGGTCAATGTTAGGCTAGGACTAGATGAAAATAACATAAAGGATGAAACTAACCCCATATTTGGAGGTTTATTTTCGATGGTCATTGATGCTATCGGGTCATACGGTGACTCGGAAAACAACATACGAATTGCACTAAGATATCCAGATCGCAAGACAAGTTCTGCGAATGGGCTAAAGATTAGCCAGTTTTCTTGGGAAAACGTTCAGTTTCTCCTGAGGTTGACACACGGTTCATACGCTGACACGTAGTACACAAGATATTTATTGTTTACTTCCTGAGTACTATCGGCGATTGCACCTCTTTGAAGACCCTAATAGCTTGATGAACCACGATCTGTCACAGGTCTCTAGGTAGTTCTAGCTCCTTGCTTTTGCTGTCAGCAGCCATATTTTTTGAGCACCTTCGAGGGAACTGAGTCTCCTTCTACTCCATGCTTCGGTCTCGTGGGAATTCGCCTTCGAGGCAGACTTCCTGTCAATCAATAAACTCAGGGAAAGTTTAAATGTCGGATGCCGTAGGAAGAAAACCCTACCTTGGGTTAATTTTCTCCATTGAACGATTGATATGTAGTCTATTGAATTCGTTGAATGATAATATCGAAGATGCTTCGATAGGCCCTTAGATGCGGGAAGAGGAAGGACAACCACCACGTGTTATGAACATGGTTGTACGTATCATTGACCCAGGCTTAGGTATAGAAAAGTTAACTTAAGCATGAGTTGGCGTGAATCAATAAAGCAGGCACTGCCCCATCAAACCCCTGTCTTGCAGGGGGTTTGGTAGGTTCCAGTCAAAGGGTAGGTCTAAGTTACTTGGACTTACATTACATGGTGAAATCTTGTTTATCTAAGAAAATTTGAAGTTGGCTTACCTACCTGCTAGCATTAATAGGCTGGGAAAAGCCAAGACTAATCATGAACCCCCCTTTGAGTGTTAGCCAATGATTACAATATAATTTTTGTTACTTAGGAAGTTGATGGTTTATGCTGATTTGCAATCACCTGCATTCATTAATCCCTCCATAGAAAACATTACTGTGGCTGAGAGTTGGAAAGCTTAGGTGAAAGCTGAGCTGTCATAAGTTCAGTTTATGAAACATGAAGAACCTGGAGATATTGAGAATTATAAGTTGTCAACATGGAATGATCGAGAAGGGACTGAAACTGTGCCGTGATTCAGCACATGACCAGATTTATTTTGCGCAAAGAGGCAGAATTATTGCTGTATCCAATCCTGTTCCAAGGTCATCTGAAGTGAGTGGTTTGATGTTTGGGTGAAGAGTTGGCAGTCTTCCATTCCCATATTGTTTTAATATTATTTCGTTTCTTTTTTTCCATGGCTAAATTAGCAGGTTTTCAGCCTGGAAAGACCAATTTTTTAAATTACTATTATCTCTGAAATGTTTGAAATTTCAGGAAATTTTGTATTATTGCTGAGGTGTGTGTTTTGGTTCTGACCTTTAAACCAAAATTATACTTTATATGAAAAGTTGTGAATTGTTTGCCATGGCTGAAGATCTTGGAAGCTTGAGTCTTAAACCCAGGTCTTCGAACTTGGATGGGCTAGCCTCATCTAAGTAGCATCAAGATTATCAAATGATTTGGCTTCATTCAGGTGTTTCTGTTGCATGCACATGAGGCATGTTTTGGGAGCATCTGATTACAATCCTTTGGTTAAAGTTCTGGGATATCTTTTGAACCTGGACCCATTCCAAATGCCCAGTTTTCTGTTGTGCAAAGTTATTTTTAATCTTTTCTTCTACTATGATTTGCAATAATAGTAATAATTCTTATACTTAAAATCAGCCATGGACGTAATCAAGTTCTTTTAACTTCCATTCAGATCGATGAACTGTGCATTCTCAATGAAGTGGAAGTGGCAGTTGATGGAATTCCGGTTGCACTTTCTTACCTCTGGGAATCTGAAAGCATTTGTGTCATCTATGAAGATGGAGATATATGGACCGTTGCAGTTTCAGATTGGAAAGTGAGCTTCTTTCATACTGAGAGGACTATGATCAATATTATCAATAAGTTAAGCTAGAATTTTCTGCCTTTTCGTTTCAAGTGGTTCAAATATATTGAAGTTAACTAGATTTTAAATATTGTACTTGGAAGCAAGTTGCTTGAGAAAAATGGCAGTTGCACTGAATGCCCATTGTAGCTGTAAGAATACATAAAATTCTTCAACTAGAATCTCCATTGGATTGAATGAAGAGTTAAAACCAAACATCATGGGCTTTCTACATCTACCAAAAGCAACTTTTATTCCATTTGGCTCAGAAATGAATAGACAGTGAGATTATGAGTTTCTCAATACCTTTTGGCCAACTATTGCCTTTGAAATATTTTCCCAGATTTTTCATTCATGAAGATCTCATCAATCCTTGATGGCTGAAAGTGATTGGAATTACTGGGATAGTGGTACCTAAAGAGAGATTATTCTGGTAATTTTTTTCCACTAAAGGGGTAATAACGAAGGATAAACAATTATGCCCTATTTTATTAAACTACTAGTGCTCATGTAAACCCTTGAACTTTTCCAACATTTATTGGGGCGATAGGTTGAATGCGTTGGATCAGTCAATGGAGGCATCAGGGCTGCAGCATGGAGCCCAGACCAGGAACTCTTGGTTGTGGTATCAGGGGAAGGCATACTTTCCATTCTTACAAGGGACTTTGACCTTCTCCGAGAAATCTCCCTCCAGCAGGATGATTTTGGAGCCCGTTGGTCTCTTTTTCTCATCCTCTGCAACTTTCAAAAACTTCACTGTTGTGAGCATGTATTTTATCCTAATAGAAAAGCCCATCAGTGTTGGGTGGGGATCAAAACAGACTCAGTTTCATGGGAGTGAGGGTAAGGCAGCTGCACTGAAAACTCCACAAGTAAAAAATCCTTGCATTCTTACATGGGATGATGAGAAAATACGCATTTCCTGGAGGGGCGATGGGCAACTGTTGGTCATATCGTCTGTTCATCCTTCTTTGCGTGAGTCCAACACCTATACATTTGTTATTGCTGTAGGATTCAGTTACTCATGAGCCTGCTCAATGTCTTGTCATAGGTGTGAGACAGCTTCGGATTTTTGATCGTGAGGGTTCTCTTCAATATACCAGTGAACCTGTTGAAGGTCTAGGTCATCAGCTGAGCTGGCAGCCAAGTGGAGGCCTCATTGCCACCACTCAAAAGCTTCCCAACAAGTATCAGGTTGCCTTCTTTGAAAAAAATGGCTTGAGGCATGGAGAATTTTCTCTCCAGTATCCTGAGCACAAGGTCAGGTTATGGATAAAAAGAAACTTTTTGAAAGATGACATTTATCTGGCAGATCTACTATTCTATTTTCCCTTTTGTCTGTTGAAGGTGGAAGAGGTAGCATGGGATGAAAGTTCCTCCATTCTTTCAGTTCTCCTGGAATATGACTCAGAGCAGAAAGAACAATGGCTTCAGTTCTACACCAGAGGAAATTATCATTGGTACCTGAAACAGGAACTGAGAATGTCACATTCCTCCTCAGTCTTGTTTCTTGGCTGGGATTCCCATCTCCCTCTCACGTATGAGAAACTCTTTTGGAGTGCCCATGTCTGATTTATTATTTCTGTAGTTGGAAAGAAAAAAATCAATTCTTTACTTCAGTCTCATTGTTTTGGGTGAGGATTTCTACAAGGAGATTGCTTTTGCATGGGCAACTCATTCCAGCCCACTTACTTCAGACAGCCATGCATTTACAGCTGTAATTGATGGGCGTGAGTTTGTTCACACGGTCTTAGCAGTTCTTTTACCTCCTATTTGACTTGTGGAGTCAGATTGTATAACAGAAAGTCTTTGCTGTGTTGTAGAGAATTCATTGATGACTCCCTTTCGAGATGTCATCATTCCTCCTCCCATGAGTGCATATAAGCTTGAGAGTCCAACTCCCATTTCTGCTGTTGCATTCCCATCCTTTGCATTATGCCCCTCATCAGATGACATTTGGATTTTCTCTGTTGATGGTTCTGCCATCCTTCATGCCATAGGTAGGACCTCCTCCAATTACAATGAATTGTGTTGTGATGTATGTATATAGCTATTTTTTCCAATGCTCTGATTGACATACAGGGTGTTCATATTTAAATACAACATAGGGACTATTTTGCTGCCTGTAGCTGGAGTTCAGCGAACTCTATATGGCCCACCAGGTTGCATATCTGCAAGGAAATACACCAAGGATAGATTTCATCCTTCCAGATATGCAACCCAGTGAGCTCACCGGCTCACCCTGAACTCCACCAAAAGGTGGAAAAATTTACCTATATTGCATTTAAATGTGAACACCCTGTATATTATATGTTTTCAGAGGAGAAACAAACAGATGAGGTTGTTGGGCGTTTGGAGTGTAGGCACCAAGAGAAACTTCGGGTGAGGATTTCCGTGGAAGACTCCCCAGAAGGGATGCCAAGATGCTTAAGCTTGTACTGGAAGTGGATGTGGGTGGCTCCAGACACATTCTTGTGTCTCACAATTCGGTGCACCCTCTGTCTTTGGAAGCTGAGTGAGGGTACCCTCCATCTCAGGTTATCGCTTTCTCCCTGACTTGATCTAAGGTATTCTAGTTCCTTTGGTCAAAAAATGAAAAACATCTTGAATGTGGGGGCACCAGGGAATGGATGAGGCTGAAGGATGAGGTCATGTGCATGGGAATAAGTAAAGTGATGGGATTTGTCATCCTCCAACTGCAAGATGAGTCTTTGCACCAAGTGTCCTGGGGGGAGGGATTGACAATCTCTCAGGCAGTTCCATTCACTTCATCTTTGCCTCCTGGGGCTCACACAAATCAGGTCAGCACATGTAGAAGCCATTAGGTTCTATGGAAATTATATTGCCAATGGTTTTCAGAATCTATTTTAGCTTCAGTTGGTTTTTGAGACCAAGAAAACAAGTGAAAGCCTTTATTGTGTCCTTAGTTGGAGGTTTGGGAGAGCAAGGATTCTAGTGACTGGCACTTGTTCAGTGTCACAGATCGTGGCCATCTGCTCTTAGATGGGAAGAAGATTTTAGGGAATGTGACTTCATTTCTCCTCGGCTTCCATGCATTTCTGGCTACAACCACCGATCATCAACTCATTGTCTGTTTCTTCTATGAGTCACCAGATCTTACTATCAAGGCAGAGGATCCTCTGAAGAGAAACATTGAACGTGGTTCTCGTCTAGTCACATGGGTACTAGATGAGACACTTGTTGTGCTTCAAACACCCCGAGGGAATCTAGAAGTCATTCATCCAAGACCCTTAGTTCTACGGAGGATAACACATCTCTTGGAAAAGTGTGTGGGATCCTGTTTATAATCCATTATCATGGGGAGAGGATTATTTGCTCATGAATTTTGCTCTGCTGCCTCTTACAGAAGTGAGACCTAGATGTATTAAAACAAGCTTCTTAACAGGAAGGATTTCCAACCCTTTTAAACATTTATGAAAATATATTTTTTTTTTGTGTATGTTCACATTGTGCTCTCATATTGCCTATCACAAATGAAATTACTCATTTGCCATTCTGCAGAGCTTACTTTTAACCCTCATCCGGGCAAGCTTTTTTACAACCTATTCCAGGCAAGGTGAGTCTGTCAGACTCATGTAAAATAAGGCCGTTTGCTGCAGTTACAGTATGTATTCTTATAAATAACAGTACTGTAACTAAAATAATACAGACAATTTATTCAATGGTCCTGATAGTTAAAAAAAATAATGACAGTAATAGACCGAAATATGTCGTAGTGAGTCCAGCGGACTCACCTTGCCCGGATTAGGGTTAATTGATGATCACCTGTGAAGAGCATAGACCTTACCTAGTGTTAGATAACTTGATCTTCAGTCTTTGTTGACTTGCTTTTATCCTAGGGAACAAGTTGAATACAGAGAGAGTATGCAGCTGTTGAGACGAAATCGAGTCAACTGCAATCTCTTGTGTGATCATGATCCTAAGCGGTTCTTGGCCTCAGTTCCTGCTTTCATCCAAACACTTGAACCAAGTCTTCTTGTCTTGTTTCTCTCTGATCTTGTGTAGGTTCATTTTGTATGACATAACTTGTTTGCTGTTTCATTTAGATTCCTTTGGCTTGGAAATGGAAGGAGGGCTTATTCTTCATTTTTCAGAGAGGAGATTGTGGTGGAAACCATGTATAAGGACTACTATGACCTGGATCATGTGGAAAGAGCTAGCACATGGTCTGATATTTTGAAGGCTAAGGAAACTAAAGTTGATCGAATCTGTGATGCCTTGTGTAGAGCTATGGAATCCCAGTTAGAAGGAAAGCCAGATCTCCTTCATCCACTTTTATTGACTCATGCTCGAAAATCCACACCTGACTGGGAAGGAGCTCTCCGCCGCATTCAACATCTGCGCCATAGTCAGAGAGATTCTATGACCATTTTAGTTGTTGATTGTGGTTTTTAATTCTCACAAGATATGTATGTTTCTTTTTTTTTTAAGTTGGAGAAGAGAAGAGAGGGGAAGAAGCACTCAAGTTTCTCTTGTACTACGTGGATGTGGATGAGTTATTTGATGTCTCCCTTGGAACATATGATTTTGATCTTGTTCTCCTTGTGGCTGCTCACTCCAACAAGGTTAATGCTAAATATCACCCCATTTTAGGCCTTGTTTCAGGGCAGTTCCAGAGTAATTGGGATAATTATGGTAAAAAAATTGATTTACAAAAATGTCATCCAACTTACTTTCTTGCACAGTATAGATACTAAACTTGGACCAAATAAGCTCCACTAAAAATTCACTACTTCATGTGGGATGGTTTTTCATTACTCCTGCACCATTCCATTATGAATTGAACACTTGCATGGTGTGAAACTCAAAGGTGTGAGACTTAACTTTTGACTATTTGATATGTCAGTCACACTGGAAAACTCCTAGCTAAATCATTTTTTAACAACCACAAATGCCATTTGCATGAAGAAAGGTTATGATCTATACCTGAAAATATGGAAGCTTCAGGTCAGGCCAAATCAGACAGATTTGGAAGGGAAACAGCAGAATGAAAGCCATTGTCTAAACTGTTGCATCAGTCACATGACATGAATAGTCTTACTTTTTTTCATCCATGGAAGAAATTAGACAATTTTGGTTGGAATTGGTACTGGTATCTATGCTCTATAAAGCACTATTGAAGTAGAATTTCTGCCCCAAACCATCTTTAAGGTATACCATTATACTCCCTCTGTCTCAAAATAAAACCAGTGTATTGACTTTATTTTTGTCTCAAAAAGAAACCTGTGTTTGCCTCTGTGTAAATATCTAGCTTAATCGTCGATAGATATGAACTTGTTGGCGCGCTCGATGACATCTTCTGGGCATTTGACATTCTCTGGTAGCTGTCCTCTGCGTTGCAGACTTGCCTTACCTAAATGTGGAATTTTGTAGTGTATGCCACCATCAATAGACATCACTTGAATCATACATGTCTGCCATGTCAAGAAGATGTTGTTCAGTTTGTCTGGCTCCATCATCCAGAATGCCTGCTCGGTAGCTGCAATTAGACACTCTAAGTTCTTTTGAGTGAGCTGATGTTGGAGTGATTGTATCGCTCAGAACAGCCCCAGATCCAGAACATTCATATCAGGACTGTTTGGTGGCTGGCATGTCATGATGATGTTGAATCCGTCCTTGATAAGCGCTGTAGCCAAGTTGGTTTCTGTGCCAGTAGGATGCAGTTTAGCATTATCTTGCTGGATGAGAATGGTGTCAATAGTCTTACCAGGCCACAAATGAGGCCACTTCTCGCGGATCGCCTGCAGGACATTGTCAATCAGCATCTTCTTAACCTCTTCCTTGGTTATTCTCTCGATGCATTTCATCTCCATTGTACCACACTGCTGGTTCTTGCTGTTGCGTTTTGCCGGCTCCTTAAACACGAACGGGAAGATGCCGATCTTCCCGTAGAACTTACAGTTCTTGTACGAGTCATAACGAGGGCGGGCCACGGCAGCAAGAAACATGACTTTGGTGATAAACCGTTTGCTCTTAGCATTACGGAGCAGCGGTTCCTCGTCTGGAGCTAGATAGAACTTGGCATTGGACTCGGTGATGTAGAACCACTTCTCGTCGATGTGGACCATGTTCATGCAGTCTTGAAACATTGGTGAATTCTCTGAATCTAACTTTGACAGACAGAATTGGACGCGCTCAATCTTGTTCGCATCTGTCAGGAATGGTTTGATTGCATTCGAATGACGCTTGATCTGACCTTCCTTCACTCGTCGATGGATGATCGCTGTGGACATGTTCATCTTGGCGGCCATAGACCGAATGTTCTTGCGTTGGACCAGCGGTATCTCCTTCAACTTATTCATGTTGAGAACCTTCTTCCTTCCTACACGGCCTCGTTTCAGGGATGAAGCATTAGCGGAAACTGCCCCTCTAGCAAGAGATTGCCTGCCTTGCTTCCAGATCCCCGAAATTGTATCTCGGGTCTCACCGAACCGCTTGGCAACATCGTCCAAGGCACCTTTGGCAAGCTTATCGGGTTTTTCTGGGTTCTTCACCTTGGGTAACAGGCATTCGTACACTGCTTGACGTTCTTCATTGGTTAGATTTGGTTTCTGCTTGCTAGCTGTGCCCATTATTGTGTCGGAAACAACGGTAGTGTCAGGACCAAGATTCGCTTCTTCAACCGATGGGACAACTTGGGCAGCTGTGTCTACTCGTCCTTCAACCATATTTGCATTGGCATGCTCCATATCAATCACTTTCTAAGTACCGGCAACGATCGCAGAAGCACCTGAAATGGCACAATTTTGATGCCACTTTTCTCAACTTTCCAGTTAGCCCCTAACCCAAAAAATTTTGAAGCTGGGTTCAGAATAGTTCAAGCTTAATATCTGATGCCTTCCTAGTGCAATTCCTTGGTACCATTTCTTAATCCCAAACTTTTACTAAAACACCTGTTTTATTTTGAGACAGAGGGAGTACATGTTTTCATTTTGAGTCTGGTGTCACTTCAGTTACTTTGGAACTGCCCTTTACTGACCAGACTTTTAAGAGCACTTTATTGTTATTTATTCTATGTTGCTATCAGGATCCCAAAGAATACATCCCATTCCTGAACCAGCTGAGGATTCTGCAACCTCAGGCATTTCGTCAATATTCCATTGACATTCACCTCCGGCGTTGGAACAAGGCCCTAAAAAACATTTCCCAATGTGGAGAAGAATTCTTTCCGGCTTGCTTGGAATTGATTCGTGAGAAGACATTGTATCGACATGCTTTGCATCTCTTTCCTTCTGGCTCTGCTTCATATCGGAGTGTTTGTGAAGCATATGGTGAATACCTGGAGAAAAAAGGAGCCTGGAAAGAGGCTGGCATTCTCTATTCCCTTGCTTTCACCCCTGACAAAGCAGTGAAGATGTATCAAAAGGTCTTGGATTGGCGAAGCACTTATCAAGCTGCCATGATTGCTGGCTTCCAGGGGGATCAAATGAAAGATCTGGGAGAAAGCTTGGGACTTTCCTTGAGACATTCTTCACGCTTCAAGGATGCAGGAGATGCCCTGCTGCACTTTTGTGGGTCTGAAGGCATTGACCTCTCAGTTGATGCTTATCTTCTGGGTGGTCACTTCTCTCATGCTATCCAGGTCTCCATCCAATACAAATTTTTTGCCAAATGCTCAGTACATGTATTACAGTGATTAACTGAATCTGTTGATAATTTTACCAGGAATTTGTCTTTAAAAAGTATTTCATTTAAAGTATTTATCTCTGTTTTGGGATATCACATCACTGCATAAGTCTTACCTTTTTACTTTTTATGATCAATGGCATATAACTGTGGAGGCCATCATCTTCTCAGAACATTTAGATGCTCTGAAATTCATTTTTGTTTCATTTGGTACATACCAAAGAGGCACTCACAGCACCCTATCCCAATGAAAAGGCAGTACCTGTTCAGTACAAATTGAAATCAGTACAAAAAAATGCTTCATGAACTCACATCCCCCTTATTGGACTTCTTAAAAGGCACTGACAGTCACATTGCTTTGCAGATTCTTGCAGAACATGGAAAGGAAGAATGGATGGAGACAAAGGTGAAGAAGGTAGCATTGGAATTGCATAAGGAATGCATCATTTTAATCCAAAGAAAAGAGAAATCATTTCAGGACCATCTAGATCGTCTCACCCTCGTCCGTCGTGTGAAGGCCGAGAGACTTGATAAGGAAGAGAGTGTTCCTGATGGTGATCTGTATTCTGATGCCAGTAGCACAGTGTCTGGGTCCACTTCATCTGCACAGACATTCCGATCGATGAAAAGTCAACGAAAGTTGGAGAGGAAGAAGTACACCCTGAAGGAAGGAAGTGCTAATGAAGATCTTGGTATCATTGTTGCCCTACATGACCTCATCCGATCCACTGATGCTCTTTGTGGTATGAGTAACCCATGGAACTTAGAGCATGTGCTGTCTTTAAAAATGTTATGCATGTTGAAAGATCATTACAACTTTTCATTTGTCTATGAGAATAATGAATGGGTATTGTCAACAGTAGGGCATTAGCCCCTTAGCTGGGTTAGACTTTGTTTAATGTCTGACCTCCCTTAGGTTAAGAGATGTATTTGGTGGAAAACTTCCCAGTTAAGGGGTTAATTGTTGCATTGGAGCCTGTGTGCATAACACTCTGTGCATGTGTATAGGGGAGCGGCACCAGTTCGCGAACAGGGAGCCAGTTAGCGAACGAGGGTCATGAAATGCGATTTGGTCTTTTGTTACTCTAGTTTCACACTCCATCCCAAGCATTAATTAATCATTCAATCCATTTTCTGCAGATACCAAAAGCTGGAGCGTGTAACTCGAGAAACAAAAGGCCAAATCGCATTTCATGACCCTCGTTCGCTAACTGGCTCCCTGTTCGCGAACTGGTGCTTCTCCCCTACCTGCATTTTTTTCCAGACTATGGGTGTATGTATATTATTCAATGTTATTTAGATGAGGTGCATGAGATCCTGGAAACACTGGTCCTATTTGGAGAACTGGAGAAGGCAGAATTGCTTCAGAATACCTTTAGAGTGCTTTTAAAGAAGATGGAGAAGGGGTCAGTTGTTATTTGGCCTCAGATGATAGGAATCCTTTCTAATCGGGGATTTGGACCAGATGTAACCACAGAAGAAGCTGTTCGAATTGCATCTGGTCCTACTGGCCACCCTTCTGATGCAGTCCGTCTTTATGAACTTGGTGAGTGTCATCATGGTAGGGACCTACACTGGAAGAAATATGAATGCCAGTCTAGTCACTGCATTGACCCTGCTCCTAACCCTAAAAAATCTTGAACTGACATTTTCCTATGTTTTCTTTGTGGCAGAACCACAGTTCCGGTTCCCACCTGTGATAAGAAAGGAATCTTCCTGGAAACTTCACATTCTTGAATGCTCCAATGAAGGCTCTGCTGAGACATAGAATGATCTTGCATTGCGATATGGTTTTTAAATAATTAAAAAAGGTGTTTTTGTTATTATTTCTTTTAATTTTTGCTTTTTGTGCTCCAAAGGTTCTTTTATATAAATGAACCAAGGCTCCTATTGCAGCCCCTCTGGCACATGACATTTGACTCAAACTTTGAGTCTACTTTTTTTTTTAGTCGAGTGCTAGAATTTATTGTCAAGTTGAGTTTCTAATATGTGAATGGGTTTGTGAGAGGACCATATCCCGATCTAGGCTAGACAAAGTGAATACCTGTCTATATTTGACAAAGATCAGATGATGGAGTTTGAAGTGTCTGATGCACTACTTATTAGAGAATACCAATTTCGAGGTCAGTAATTTACTAGGTCATAATGGGGGGGGGGATTTGGTCAGTTTGGATCTTGCACATTTTTTATTTATTTGTAGTGGAACGGCTGGAGGAACATTTGAAACTTCTTCGAGTAAGTGAGGCTGATTTGAGCCTGGAAGGAAGGGAAGCCTTGAAGTCCCTGGTGGAGCTGGCCTTAGCCACCGGACTGGAGGAGGGGATCACGCGGAGTCGGGTCATAGCTGTTGTGACTCGAGAACAGGACCATATCCTTGAGACTTCCCAACTCTTGGAGGAAGCAAGAGAAGTCTCCCGTCAACTCGAGTTTGCCATCCAAACAGTCAGCAAACGCATCCCTCAACTTGAACGGTCTGTATTAAACCTCTTTACTTGTCATGTTGATCCTCATAGATCAACAGCTTTCAAGTTTATGCTAATAGCTTCACAATTTTTGCAATTAAATGAAAATATACAGGGTGTCCCATAAGTCCGGCATCATAGGAAAAATTCATATTTTTCTATTTCTACAGGCCATAATGTCTTTGAGCAAGGAAAAACGAATCCAAATAATTCTAGTCATAGGAAATCAGAGTCAAAGAGCTGCTGAATTTAACAGACTGCATCCAGACTGCGAGCCAATAACAGAGTTGTGTTAGCAGACTTGTTGCAAAATTTAAGGAAACAGGATCCATAGAAGATAAACCATGCAGTGGACCTTCAAGGAGGTCCACTGACAATGATACAGCGACTGCTATCCATGCTCATTTTAACAGAAGTGAATAAAAGCTTTGTTTTGCCTTTTTTAAATATTTTTTCTATGATGCTAGACTTATGGGACACCCTGTACTGTAAAGAAAGAGTACATAACCTCAATATTAACACTATGAGAACCAGAAATTGTTAACATGGATTACCCTAAATTTGAAATGATTTTCATAGTTATGCAATTAACTGTAAATGGCTCTGAGGTGATACAGGATTGACTATCACTATCAGATCACCAGTGTGTTCAAGGTTTAGGTGATTGACTCTAGACTTCCATGTTTAAACATACAGTGAGTTTATTCTGACATTCAGTGTAAGAAGAAATCAATACTAATAAAGATCAACCGGGGTTCGGTGGCTGAGTGGTTCTGGCTCCCAAGTGAAACCCGGGAGGCAAGGGATCGAGTTAGTGTGGTGGTGGGCTCTTCCTCTGCCAACAGGTGACCCACTGGTTTTCATGGGAGTGTCTGCTTTGTGTAGGATAACATACACATCACTCTGTATGCCACATCTAGGAGATACAGGTGCAATTCACCTTAAAGTCACTCGTGCTAGTCATGGGCGTAGGCAACCCATGAGCTGCCCCTAAGACCTCCTACAGGATTGTATAGGGGTGTCCCAGCCTAAGGGACTGTGATACAGATGTGATGCTTGTGCCAAGCGTGCACCCCCTTCCTCTCTGTGTCATGTAAAATGCATCCTTTGTCATGTATGTCCTATCTTTTTTATTTTTTTTAAATGAAATACTAACAAAGATAAGAAGAAATAGCAGGGAACATCAAGAGTTCAAAGTCTTTTATGGAGAGAAGAAAGGCTACTGTATTTGAAAGTACTGAAATGCATAAAATCTAATTATTATCATTGCTTATAAGTGCTTATGGATACATTACAATACAACTATATGTTTCCAATACTGGTTCTTGGTAACATGATAATTGGATTCTGTGCAGCTCAATCCAGACTCTGGCAGAGCAGGAAAATCAGTTGGAGAGACAGATTGAAGAAAGAACCCAGGAAATCCCTCATCTGGAAGCCCAATATGAAGTTCTTGCTCAAAAAGTCCATGATCTTGAGGTACAATGAACCTATTTTCATCCCTTGAACAAAGAAATAAGACTCCTCTCATGCAGATGAGTTTCCATTGCCATCAGGTTTGTTGGGAGGGCTACCAAGTGAAGCCAGAGGTGCAGATGGAGGCTCTGGCTGAACGTCACAGCAGTGTTGCAACAAAGATGAGGGAACTTGTTGATGTCCGAGAGCGTCTTGCTGCTTATCATGACCTCCCACCAGCACCTGAACTGGCAGCTTTGAGACTTGAGGAGCTCCAGGAAGAACTGAAGAATGTCCAGGCCCAAGTCGACGATCTCACTTCTCACTCGTGATCATTATTCAGTCATTACTTTTATTTTTGTTTTTGTGTCTTTAGTGAAGTATTACTTAGCCAAATAAAAAAATGAATGCAGATCAATCTTTTTATTGCTTTCCTTGCATTCAGTGATGACTAGAAACACCATTATCCCTTGTGTATAAGATACATTCAGTTCACGTTGTAATGAAACCTGCTTCCTCTTACTCACTACGATCATTCCAGGACAGGTACAAACAGTGTGCAAGGCAAGTGCTTATGGTAACACAGAAGCAACATAGTGCATTCTGTTTTCAATGGACGGATTCAGTATGATAAGGACGGATGTGCTTGACCTCAGTGTGACTGAGATTCACAGCTTATCACAATTCCATTCAGTGACAGAAGAGCTTGCTCCTCTACTTAATCACAACATTCCCAGAAACGCACATGCCATAAAAATACAACACCCAAACCAAAGTGACAGTTCACAGGAGTGCTTTCAACATTATAGAAAATGGTAGAAACCAGTCAAAACTCAGAATCACAGGAATTCGTGTAAAGAAGGTGATTTTTCTTTCTTTTGTGTAGGTACTAGTCTGTAGCACTCAATGATGCAATTACACTAATTAACCTCAAAATGCAGCTTTGCCTGGTTTCAACCATTTTTGAGTCTTTGGTGAAAATATGGGGTTGTGCCTGATCTTGTGACTTTGTCAAAAGACATTCCCACTTAATGGTAACTGAAAATATGCATTGGATATTTTGTATGGCACATGACAGAACAACGGGTTATGTCACAGTCAATTATGCCTCTCTTAACTAGTGCTGTCAGAGAAGAAGAGAACATGGGGCAGTGTATGATTGAGGAATCAACTAAGATGTTTCTATTTTGATAGGAAGCACAAAATTCACTGCCCTGGAGCGTAGGAATATGTGCATGAAGCCTGGAGGGTAGGGAATATACCATTCAGGCAACTGCACCGCTCCCTTCATCTTCCCTCCTTCTCTTGACCCCCCCCCCCATTATGACCTAGTAAATTACTGACCTCGAAATTGGTATTCTCTAATAAGTAGTGCATCAGACACTTCAAACTCCATCATCTGATCTTTGTCAAATCCACCCCCCCCCCCCCCCCCCCCCAAAAAAAAAAAAAAAAATTATTAAGAATAAATAATAAATTCATGTTTAAATAAAATTCTTGGAAGGAAAAATGAAACTGGGTTGTGGAACTGTTCTTCGACTCTCAATTTCTCCTTTTTTCAGTTTTGGAATTACTTCATTCTGAATGTAATATAATTTGGATACTGAGGATGGTGCTTTTACCCAACATTCCTTTGAAATCTCCCCAATTAAGGAGACCTTGAAAGAATGAAGAGCCATCCCAACCATCCATCCTTAGTGCTTAGAGATCAGACTCGAAATTGGGAAAGTGAATGCTGTGGAGATCCTTGGGATAGACCAACCCTCCCTGATGCCTAGCCCTGAGTTGCAGGAAATCCTGGACTCGCTCCTTCCTCTCCTCGGACGCGTTGCCCAGGGAATCGTCCCCTAGGAATCCCCAAAGATCCAAAAAGAGGTCCACGTCCATCCCGGCATGGTCGGGATCCTGACTCATGATGTGGCACAGGAGGTCCAAGGCGGATGTCAGGTCGGAGGTCATGCTCCAGGTCACCCACGCGATGACGTAGGGCAAGATGACATTTGACCCGTTTCCTCCTTCGTATCCTCCTGCATTTAGTAGCTCGTCCAGACTCTCTGTATCCAGGCAGAGATACTCCCACTTCTCCCTTAGCTCCTCCTGTTCCACGATGGAAGGATGTCATTGCTTGTATCGATTCAGGCTCATTTTGAGAATGACATATTTTTATATTTTTGCTGCCGTATTTTCTAATCTCTGATACGCTCCAAAAGCTCCATGATGATTAAAATTTGCAGCATTTTCTTGATTGTCAGCACATCGTGTTTCATGGCTTGACAAGCCTACTTATAAGATAGATTAAAATAAGGAATTTCATGAACTACAAGTAGAGAGGAAAGTATGCTGTCGAGTCACTTACTTCAGTGACCAGGTATTGCGATTGCAGTTGTCGATAGAGGACCCGAAGAAGGCCGGGTGTTGCCCCACCGATCCCTTGGAGTTTAGAATGAGAGCCGTATTCCAAATGATCTTTGGTCGGAAGGACCTGATGATTCGCAAGGGCTTGGAAGTATCCGACGGTCCACAAAAGGAGGTCTCGAGGTTGCGTTCGAATCGCTGCCTTCGTGAAAGCCTTCAGAAGATCTGGGAACCCGTCCGGAATCTGAATTTCACCCACCCCTTCTCCCCTCATCCTCCTAATTGCACACACATATAACTACTTCGTTAAAAGGATTAAACTAAAACTGATAATTGATGAAGTGGAACTCACCGGGGTTGCCCGAGGCTTCACATGTCCGCTCTCCCTGTAATGACCGATGCCTTTTCCATCCGCGCGGTGTTTTGTGGATCCGTTGCCATGGCGACGTACGTGGAAACCGGGACGGGATTGGTTGTTCGGCTTCATCACGACATCCCTCCTTTTATGGATCACCTTCATGCATTCTTTATCACCGCCTCTGAAATCGCTTTATTGCGTCGAGCGGTTACAACACGAGTAGCGTGGGACGTAACGAAGGCGACGGGAAAGGTATATGGTGTTCTTATCTCGTGCTGCGTGCAGGGACGTTTTCTTCAATGGGGTCAGTCCTGCGACATCGCTCATTAAAAATTCAGTCAAGGATCCCGTCTTATTCTTCCTACGTGAATGGATCCCAGGGGAAAAGAAACACCTGCCATTCGTTTACTTCCGGAGTGTGTAAATTATTTCGTACGTTCGATGTTCCGAGCGAAATTCACGACCGACTAGGTTCAGTGAGCCGGTTCGAGGATTTGGACGAGGGAAAGTGGCTCGTTCCACCATTTCTTTCAGCGAGGGAACAGATGTTCCGTTTCGCCCTTCCCATTTGACATTTTCAAGTACGAATGCGCGGCCTTGTCAGTCCGATATGGAGACAGACGCTTTGCGCAAGGAAATTCCATGACATCCCGACAGTGGCGTAAAGAGGATTCTTGGTCGTGGGGGGGGGAGGGGGGGGGGACTCGATACAAAGGCAGTTGAACGACGGAATGTTGAAGGAAAAGAGGGGTCGAACGAGGAATGCAATTGTGCAGTGAAGTGGGCACGACTGCTATCTCTTGCCCATCTCGACTTACCCAGATCAACCTTTATTTTCTTCTAGCCGGGAACAAAGACAACGCGGAAAGAGCAAATGCTCGAAAATTTATGTTCTGGATTCCATATGAAACGTGTCTCAGCATGCCGCTGCCACAAACTTGGCTTGAACCTCGCAGAGGCATGGCTTATTTTCCGCATTTCAAAACCGGCTTCCCGAAATAGACTCCGACCATGAAGCCTAATAGAGAGAAGCGTGAGACCTTCGCACAGGCAACACTTACTTGGGGGTCAGCAGTACATTACCTATTAGATTAAGTCAAGGATTTCTTCTCTCCCTCACTGAAAGACTTGCAGTAATATATTCGACGACTAAAACCACCTGTCCCTGAATAAACACCCCCTGTCCTCCTACGTCGAGAATATGAATTCTCAATGGAAGCAAATACTTGTTCCCTTCGTAAGTTTTCGCTCGGTCAGGATGCTTCGAGAAAGATCTAGAGAGCTGGCGATACCACGTCGAAGGCGTGCCAGATCGTAGAGCCATAGGGTATGGTGATGAGTCACACCCGCCTTCGTTTGTACAACGTTGCACGTGGCTCGAGGACCCGGTATGAAGATGGCAACGCAGACTTGCCTGGGTAGAGGTCAAATCACTCATTTGAGGTCGGAATGCAATGCGGTGAAGCTCAAAGAGACACCGCGGAACAAGTCCAGAGGCATCCAATAGTCCTCTACCGGCAAGAACAAGAGCGGAGAGGAGTGGCGGGCGAATATAGCCAATGCGGTCAAGGCTGGCTACTGACGTCAGCTCCATTCGTGACTCCATTGGTTTGTAAGCCGGAACATTCTCGAAAGTTCGTCACTTCCTTTTCGGAGAGGGGAACGACGCTAGCGGTCACATTTTTCGGCTCAGTCTGCCATCTTGATCACACCGGTTGGACGACTTGGGACCAGCTCTTCGCTTTCTTCGAGTTTGCGAATCCTCATCTCGTAGGTAAGGAGCTTCTTTAAATTGGAGTTTTAATAATGGAGATCGTGATGAGATGGTTCTTGTGGCGTTACGTGCCCCATCTTTTCATGGCAGACAGTCCTAATGTCACGTTTCTGAAGTCGTGATATAATGAAGTGTATTAGTTGCGGCCTTGGATGTCTCGTATGCAAACGATTATTTCATTTTACATTGTACGAACGCATGCAGCATACATTTTTCTTCCCAAGTCCCAGTCATCCTGTGAGCGTAGGCCTAGGCCGGCGATTATCTTTCAACCCACGGTTGTGCTGCTTTTTAAGCACTATGTTATGTTTAGTTGCTAGCCTTATAGCTGCCGTAGCGGCCGCAGGTATTGTTCCTGGAGTTAAATTTTATCTAATCTCTTTATATGAAAGTGCAAGAAAAAGACTACTGCTAACCACAGAAGCCAAACACTAATATGAACCCTTCCCTTTGCCCAGACACTTCATTTTAGGATAAGGAGAAATAGGTCCCTAACATGATAGCTGTCAGGTCCGCTGGGACGTTGGCCATTCAGCTCGCTAGTGTGTTGTATGGCTGTATGTATTCATAGCATTTATCTCCTTGCTATTCTAGGCTGTGCTCTCTAACTTTCCACTCATTTGAAATGTGAAAAAGGATGGTTCATGTACTGGCATATATTTATAATTAAATTATAGTATTGAAAAAGCGAAATTTTAATTTGAGAGGCCATTTTATAAAAATATATTTGAGTGAGTATGCCAGGACAGGAGTAGCATGATCTTGTAGCTAAATAGCAAATGTTGGTTCAACTAGGCTACTTCTCTCATTGGAAACCATGGCACAAATATAGTTTTACCTCATCAAATATTCTATCCTATGGAAAGCAAGGACTCGTGCACAATATACAATATTCTCCCCAATTTGGAGCTTTGCTATGGCCTGAGGTTTTTCATGGGCTACCTTTTGCCAGCCCACTTTTAGTTTGTCCACCTGTGGTCAAGAGAAAACGGGAATTCTCACTCGTGCCTTGAGATGAATGGCTGAAAGTCAAAAATCCTAATTTTCATGCTTTAGAATCTGTCATTCCATTGATTTGTATTCAAATGTGGGACTGGAGTGAGAAATACATTTACCCAGGATGCTATGGTGTTCATGATATAAGGCATTCAAATAAAATGCACAAAGAAATGGTTAGTCAGACACATTCTTGAGTCAGACACATGTCTGACTCAAGAATACATTACAACTGGAAAAGAAAATTAGACATCTGGTACAAATGAATTTCCATTTCTGTGTCATTGGAAGATGATGTAGGCTTGAGCAAGTAGGCAACTAGAAGTGTCAAGATGTGAATGAAGTTACAATGATTTTTCATTTATTATGTTGGCATTATTTGCTTAGATCTGTCTCTGGCACTTGTTTCATACAGTTCTGTACTTTTGTAGGCTCAAGTCATGAGCTATGGTCAAGGGTTGTAGTTCATATTTTAGTTCACTTTACAAATACCATTCATTTTTTTTCCCCTTCCAAAAAAGTTACTTCTAATCATCAGGGCATTTTCTTTCCAGTTAGTCAGTCTTGCATAGAATTATTCCCTGTAGGAATTGAAGTCCTTTTGCATATTTAGTAACATAATACAGTTGTGGTAGAGTGCATAGCAATGTTCAGTATTGAGTAACAATGAATTTTAAGACAGCAGTGAAACAGTCATTCTTGTACAACAGCCAGAGCAGAATTTTGATTTTTTTGTGGTTTTATGTTGCATCACTGCCTCCCTTCCAAATGACTGTTGGTATGCCCAGAATTTAATTGATTTCCATCTATTCATGGAGAATGTTAGGTCATGGAAGTAAGTTCAGTTAACAGGCTCATTACATCTTTTAACAGTTTGCTCTTCACAGTTCAAATTCATTGCATTCACAATGGCCAAGGCACCTGCTGTTGGAATTGATCTGGGAACTACCTACTCCTGTGTTGGAGTATTCCAACATGGGAAAGTTGAAATCATTGCCAATGACCAGGGAAACAGAACAACACCTTCTTACGTTGCCTTCACCGACACAGAGCGTCTAATTGGAGATGCAGCCAAGAATCAAGTTGCCATGAATCCTACCAACACTGTCTTTGGTCAGTTCATAGAAGTCATTTCTTCTCTTTGCCTGGGACATGTACAATAGCCCTAGCTTGGGATAAAACTGAGTAAAATCTATATTTTAGATGCCAAGAGGCTGATAGGGAGGAGATTCGATGATGCTACGGTACAAAGTGACATGAAGCATTGGCCTTTTACTGTCACCAGTGATGGAGGGAAGCCTAAAATTCAAGTAGGCCTTCTACACAGTGCAGGTTTTGTGTGAAGGGCTGGAGGATTAGTCAGCATTTGATGTATTTTTAGGTTGCATACAAGGGGGAGACAAAGACATTTTACCCTGAGGAGATCAGCTCCATGGTGCTGACCAAGATGAAGGAAACTGCCGAGGCATATCTAGGGAAAACTGTGACTGATGCTGTTGTTACAGTACCTGCCTACTTCAATGACTCGCAGCGCCAAGCCACAAAGGATGCAGGAACAATTTCTGGTTTGAATGTCCTGCGAATCATCAACGAACCTACAGCTGCTGCCATTGCTTATGGTCTGGACAAGAAAGTTGGAGGAGAGCGGAATGTCCTCATCTTTGATCTTGGTGGTGGTACATTTGATGTATCCATCCTGACAATTGAAGATGGGATCTTTGAAGTGAAATCTACTGCTGGTGATACTCATTTGGGTGGTGAAGACTTTGACAATAGGATGGTCAACCACTTTGTTCAGGTGGGTTGTAGTTGAAGTCGTGTGGTTTCTGTATGACCTATTGTAATATCTGGTTTAAATTGTTTCAATTTGAATAGGAGTTCAAGCGGAAGTTCAAGAAAGATATGAGCGAGAACAAGCGAGCTGTGCGTCGTCTGCGCACTGCTTGTGAACGAGCAAAGCGCACTTTGTCTTCCTCTACTCAGGCCTCAATTGAAATCGATTCCTTATTTGAGGGTATTGACTTCTACACTTCCGTCACACGTGCACGCTTTGAGGAGCTCAATGCTGATCTCTTCCGCTCAACCCTGGAACCTGTGGAGAAGGTAATTGAGTTAATAAGAGGGAATATCTACAATGGCCAAGTCTGTATCCATTCTTCATATCTCCTTAGTCTCTTCGAGATGCCAAGCTGGACAAGGCTTCCATTCATGAGATCGTCCTTGTTGGTGGCTCCACTCGCATTCCGAAGATCCAGAAGCTGTTGGTGGATTTCTTCAATGGTAAGGAAGTGAACAAGAGCATCAATCCTGATGAAGCTGTTGCTTATGGAGCTGCTGTTCAAGTGAGTGAGCTCTTGCTTATTCATTTACTGTTTGCTTGTCACTGCAATGATGTGGAAGCTCTTGGCTGTGTCTGACTGTTGTGATTATCCATGTTTTTGTAGCTAATTCTGAGCGCTTGCAAAGAGCTTGTGACTCTTGCTACGCTTTGAATTAACTATTTCTGTTATGACATAATTGATCCATGTTTCGTTCTTGTGTAGGCTGCCATCTTGCATGGAGACAAGAGTGAAGCAGTGCAGGACTTGCTGTTGCTTGATGTGACACCATTGTCCCTTGGGATTGAGACAGCTGGAGGAGTGATGACTCCTCTCATCAAGCGCAACACTACCATCCCCACTAAGCAGACTCAGACCTTCACCACTTATTCTGATAACCAGCCTGGAGTGCTCATTCAAGTCTATGAGGGAGAGAGGGCCATGACAAAAGACAATGTGAGTTTTAATTTTGTATCTAATTTGATACTGGATGTGCAATATATAAATGATGAAAACGACTGGTTGTTCGCAGTTTCCACCTGAGTGGCTTGACCTAGCTTCATGACGGTTGTAACCTTCCTTGGATGACTGAATAAGATCATAAATATGAAGGTGTTTTCCCATTGCTTTGAAAACATTGGTTGAATTGAAGTTTTTTTTTTCTCTAGAACCTGCTGGGGAAGTTTGAGCTGTCTGGTATCCCACCTGCTCCAAGAGGAGTCCCACAGATTGAAGTGACCTTTGACATCGATGCCAATGGGATCCTTAATGTATCTGCTTGCGACAAGTCTACCGGCCGTGAGAACAAGATCACCATCACTAATGACAAAGGTTTGTGTTAAGCTTTCAAATGCATGCTGGAATCTATTAGAATTGATTTGAAGTGGGAAAGGTGATGAAAATCCACTGTATGTTCGCAGTTTCCACCTGAGGAACTTGACCTGTTCTCTCTATGAAGGCTTAACCTTCCTTGGATGACTGATTTTCCCATATTTGCTATAAGTTAGGTGTCTTGGCCTGTTATTTATGCAAAAAATTTGTTGAAAGTTTGAAGTACATACTGGGTTTGTAGATATCAGGTTTTTGTAATGTCCTGTGTGAATTCATTCATTCCCCCATTACAGGACGCTTGAGCAAGGAGGATATTGAAAGAATGGTGAAGGATGCAGAGAAATACAAGGATGAAGACGATGCACAGAAGGGTCGTGTGGCAGCAAAGAACTCCCTGGAGTCCTATGTGTTTAGCATGAAGAGCACCATGGAGGATGACAAGTTCAAGGATAAAATCCCAGAAGGGGACAAGAAGACCATTTTGGACAAATGCAATGAAGCCCTTAAGTGGCTGGAGGCAAACCAGGTATTTCCTCTTCTGTTGAACGTTGTCTTTGATGATTTGAGATATGTATTGTATTGTTTATTTTTCTTTCTAGTTGGCAGAGAAGGATGAATTTGAGCATAAGCAAAAGGAACTGGAGCAGTTGTGTAATCCAATCATTACAAAGATGTATCAAGGTGCAGCTGGTGCAGGTGGAATGCCTCCTGGTGGATTTCCTGGTGCAGGTGCTGGTCCTGGTGCTGCTGGAGCTCATGGTGCTGGTGGAGCTTCCTCAGGTCCTACAATTGAAGAAGTTGATTAATCACCCAATGTTTAAATCTCAATGTTTTGCTTCTGGTATTCAAGTTTCAATTTGTCATACATGTATTACATTGCTGTGAACTGAAACCTGAAAACATGGAAGCAGCAGTTCAAACTCCCATCAAATGGTATGGTTCTGTGATAGCTATAATCTTGAGTATAATTGGAAAATCTGATTAAAATTTTTCATTTTTTTGCCAAGGAATTTCTGTATGTGAGTTATCTTTAATTCTGGATTTAAGTATGAGAATTTCTCTGCGTAAACGTGTTCAGTTTTTTCTCACTATGGTATGAATACATGGTATTTCTGATCTGAGGTCTGCTTTAGTCCTTGTGCTATTTGCACTAGTATGGCTTTGATCAAACTAATCTTGAAAGAGGTGGTTTGGTACAAGAAAGTGTTATTTTATATCAAATGTATTTTCCTTGCTGCTTTTTTTGCAAAAACAATGCTCCCGTTCTATTATACCTGTACTGGTAATTGTATGGTGTTGTGACTTCAAAGATCACTGAATGACTCACTCAGTTCCCCCCCGCGATTTTGTACCATCCGTATTGGTACTTGTTTGGAATGGTTTGTATGCATCAAGGGGACTACTTGCGAAGATATGGGACTTAAATTGCGAAGACTATTAACTCTTTGCGGTCCATTTTTTTTTAATTTTAGAACGCTTTGACCATGGCTGCCCACCCAGTAGGGGATTGAACTGCAAGGGGTTAAGGGGGTGAAGAAGTTGAAACTCCTGGACTCCCCCTCGAAGTTGCTAATACTCGAATCGGCATTCTGGAATGAAGGTGACTGCGTTCACGGCAGCAGAATGGATGCGACTGCCTGCAGAGCGCGATGAGTGGTAGAAGCGTGCGCACATTTATGGCGCAACGCTTGAAAAATTGTACTTTTCCTTGCTATCGTTCTGGAACCGCGACACCGAGGGTCGTACTTGGTTCCCAGTCCAAGCAAAGCATTTGAAAGCCCTTGTTCAAGAGAATTACGCCTTGTCTGTATCCGGAATATTGGATTGGAGGTTGGTAAATGGTAAAATAAGGCATGAGGAAAGTGTGCCCTTTCCTACTTGAACTCTGAATTTTCGACTTCGTCTCTTGCAATCGTAGTCTTTGACCCGTTAATGTTTAGACATCACCTCGTTAAGTGTTTCATGTGTTTTTAATATCCATGTATGTTTTCCGTTACATATTCCAAGAATCGAGCAGGTTCTTCATTATGGGTCTTATTGACGGACGTTGGACTGAGTGGCTTGTACGGCAAACCAAATTAGACCAAAAATTGTGATTTTATATGAACCGCCGAAGGACCTTCAAGATCATCGGTCGCGACTCGTCCACCTCACACTTATCGTTGCTATGAGGAGAGCAGAGCACGGAAAGATGTTTCGATTAAAACAGCTGTAGCGAGCTTTGTGAATTGAAGCCACGAATGCACGAGTCTTACTACCCGACCGAAGTGGGTGAGCATATGCCCATATCGTGCTCCCCCACTTGAAGCACTGGGAAGCCCCATTTGTGGACTCGACTATGACTGCCCGACGTGTAATTCTCCGCTGTCGATAGAGGATTTATAGACGGACTTTCTTCGAAGCGTTTTGTCAACTGGTTGCTGTGGGTCTGTAGCCAAGGGACTGAGCCGAGTAGATGTGCAACATTAGGGAGCGACACAGTAAGCAATTTTTGCATTTTGATTCCCCCCTGTACAGAAATGTACGATATGTATCTAATTGAAGCTGAGGACATACTGATGACGATTTGGCCCGTCCTCGATTCTGAGTGTGCGGAGTCCAGATGACGGTCGAATATGGAAATGGCTGAGAATTCAAATAGTGAGTAACCCATAGTCACATTACGGTGGGTGTGGTATCTAAATAGGGGTATTTCAAGTCACTTCTCATAGCTAAACCATATTTAAAAGTTTAGAAATAGGACTGGTAATTTTGCTACAACCAGCCTCCAAAATTGCATTTGTGACGAATCTCAGCCACAAAAAGGTGAGTTTCATGATTAAAAGAGTTTATTGTGTGGAAGAATTCAGTTCTGATAATCTATATTAAATCGCAGCGATGCCCATTATGGCGACCAATTTTACAAATTTGTGCCTCAAGAAATTCATGATCCACTAAATTCACCCTCTGAACCCATGATGACTCTTGAGAAATATGCATGCATACGTACTCCTATTGTGGTCGGGCAAAAATCATCAGCCAATTCATTGTAGTAACTTTAAATCTATTATATCTCGATTTTATCACCGAAGATGTCCGCAAGTATCGAACCAAAGCAACCGTTTGTCCTCAATTCTTGCGGTTTTCTTTACAGTCGGCTTTCTTCGGCATCCTACGTTGCGTGCAATCTTGTAGGCACATACTCCGACACCCCGAAACCCGACTCCCGAAAAGGTCGCATTTTGGAGCTCTAGATCCCCCCAAAATCATAACTTTTCAGCGATGCAACTATGAAGGGGAGAGGGGGTTAGGAGAGGGTTTGAATCTCCCTCGAGATCGAAGTCTATTTGCCTTCGCAGCGCCACTGCGTCTAAAACGAGTTGTAGGGACGGGTCTTCACCGGAGTGACGCTGACCCACTTGGCAAAAATCCTCGACACGCCGCCGCCTGGCGGACGTTGAGTCATGTCAGACCGTCAAGTAGCTGTCAGACCGTCAGATGTCAGATGTCAGACCGTCAAATAACACTTGAGCTGCTGCCGAGGCGTCGACACGTCGGAAGGATTGCCCTCACTGCTATTAACTCGTTTTGAATGACCCGTTTTTTTTCTGCTATCGTCGCGTGTACGCGGTCGATACGAGACTTCAAATTCATTCTTCAACCGTCTCTTGGCAGTTTTGTGGTACTTCGGTCTGCTTCCAGAAAAAAATTCAACTCTTGTGTTCAATTTTCCTCTTGGTGTGTCAGAATTTGTCGAAATCGGCGAAGTGAAGTTACAATAAGTAAAGTTATTTGTTGGAAATGGTGACGTTCTATTTCAAATTCGGTTCGAATCACGAAGATGAGGAATGTGCAACATTTAGCACTTGCGAAAAAAATCGACACATTTCGTCGTATGTCTGTGTGTCCATTTGCGCTCTAGCACGCAAAACCGTTGAATGATAGGGCGCTGAAATTGTCACGTTGATTCCTTGGAATCCGAGGATTTATCCTTCGCGCGGGACAAAAGTTGCTCCGTCGCACCGTTTTCCTTATTTTCGTGAAAAACCAACTTGGAATCGAAGGTGAATGTCGTCTATCGTGTCTTCCGACGCTGTTTGCCATTGGATAGACTATTAAAATTCAAATGTCCATGGCCTCGATTCATTCACAATTCAAATGATTGAGCTGCAGCCCTGCCATCTGGAATATACTCCAACAAACGAGGTTTCCAGAAGGGAAATGTGATAACGTCCGTCGTCGGCGAGTGGAAATAAAGTGTTTCCTTTGCCGTGAAGGTGAATTTTCGGCAAATTTTTTTTTCCGTATTTCCATCCTTAATCCTTCCACTGTGGAGTTTTGAAATCGTCCGACAGTGTTGACTTTTTTTTTTGGGAAATTCACGCTTGAAACACAACTCTTTATTTGGATCCTTATGGGACACATTTTATTGCGGTTACAATGTCCAATACATTGGTATATACTTAATAATATGTATATACTTAATAATATGTATATACTTAATAATACTCTTCTTTCACCCCCGAGCTCGATGCGTCGAAATTCCGCACGTTGGGACTTTACTCATCAACTGAGAACGTAAAGAAAGGTCGGGGTCGCCTACTTTCTTGTTTTCTCTTCGGACTTCGAGCTAGAAACATGCTCAGTAGTGTCGTCGGTACTTTTCTCACGACTTTCGATACCGTAATCATCATGTACCAGCATGTACTGTCCGATTTTCGGTTGTGACACGTTGACGCCGACGGCTGGCCGCCTGACTCAAATCAGTCGTCGACCGCCCGCTTCAAAATTTCCTTTTCAGTGAACGGGCGAAATCCAGCGAGGAAGCGAGTTACCAGCGGGGGACCTGGCACTCGCTGGCACCATCTGGACCGGGGGTCGGGAACTATGGCTTCATGGCTCACGAGCCGAAAAGTTTTGGCTCATGAGTCATGGCTTTAAATCATGGTTCTTCTACATTTTTCTCGTGCATCAAAGAATGCGCATGCTTTTTTGCCGACTTCGAGACAAATTATATTGTTTTGAAAATGTTTTGCTCACGAGCACTTAGCTCGATATTAATATGACTCACAATGCCGAATGGTTCCCGACCCCCGATCTAGACCGGTGGTTCCCAACTGGTGTGTCTCGAGTAAGGAGACAAAAAAGACACGCCCCATGCATTCCACTCTTCCAAAAATAACGTAAGGGCAAGCGGTGAGTGGCCTTACCGGGAGGCCTGTGAACCTCCCCGAGGAGGTCGAGGTATGGGCATGGCCACCTGGGTGTCACGCCTGACCTCTGACCCTTCACCTCGGCCAAGAGATCCTCCATAATAACCTTCTTTATGTATTTTTTTCTTAACCATCCCTCCTTCGGTTTCGTACAGATGCCCCAAGACTAGAGACAAAGTTGTGTTTTCATTTTAATCCCGTAATTCAGCTTCCAAATGTCCAGAAATGAAGGCCAATGCCCTGGGATCGCACGCACCTGAGGAGTGCGGTTCTTCCCCCTTCCCCATAATAGACGGAGAGAGCTCAGAGCTCAGAACTGATAGCTTGTCTCATCTTCCTGAAATTTTATTAGGTGAACCTTAATGGTGTTTTCCATCACCTGTAATGAGAAAAACTCGCGGAACTGAGACAATAAATTGCTTCTGGTTGTTGAGTGCATGTTCTTCCCGGTCAAACCCAGTCAGTCGTTAAAAGCTGAACAATGTCTTGTAATATGTGCTTCGCTACAAGGGTGTTAACTTGTTTTGGTGACAATTTTAGGCACAAGGCGTTGTCTTTCCAAATCAGGTTATATTAATAATTGGTTAATAAAAATAATAATATATTAATAATAACGAATATTAATAATTACTAATACAATGAAACAGTTGTCCATGAAGAAATACTGCACAGTATTTAGGCTAGCAGATGGTATAATAGGATAATTAATCATTAGGTTGGTTTCACTGCTTCATCCCAACCCTCCCCCCCCCCACCCCATCACCTCAGATTAAATCTATAGAGCATGACTTCACAGCTGGTGCGCTCAGTCGTTCATTAGATTTCTGACTTCAAAGACACAAGCTGCTATAAAAAAAAGATTAAATACAGTAAATTCAATCGATAACTTGATTAAACTATTTTCATTTTGCTCATTACAGTTCAAATTCATCACATTCCCAATGGCCAAGGCACCTGCTGTTGGGATTGACCTGGGAACTACCAACTATTAAATACAGTAAATTCAATCGATAACTTGATTAAACTATTTTCATTTTGCTCATTACAGTTCAAATTCATCACATTCCCAATGGCCAAGGCACCTGCTGTTGGGATTGACCTGGGAACTACCAACTCTTGTGTTGGAGTATTCCAACACGGGAAGGTTGAAATCATTGCCAATGACCAGGGAAACAGAAGAACACCTTCTTGGGTTGCCTTCACCAACACGGAGCGGCTGATCGGGGAGGCAGCCAAGAATCAAGTTGCCATGAATACGGCCAACACTGTCTTCGGTCAGTTCACGGGAGGATTCATCCCCCATGCTTATTTATTTGTTCAGACTGAGCCTGCAGTGAAATATGATATCCTTTCAGATGCCAAGAGGCTCATTGGACGAAGATTTGATGATCCTTCGGTCCAGAGTGACACGAAGCATTGGCCCTTCGATGTCGTCTGCGATGGTGGGAAGCCCAAGATTCAGGTAGGTTTAAGTTTTGCTCCAATTTGTCAAAATTTCGCATCAAGAATCCATAAACATGGGAAAGCTATACTCTGTGAAAAAACATGTTCAATGAATCCTTGAGTCCTTCTCTGCGCGCAATCAACGGTCGTAAGGGTGGGGTGAAATTCTGCACAGCTACTTGCAGAGTATCCCGGGAAATGGAGTAGACTTCACGTTCTTTGACCACCCTCGAGTCTCCAAACGTGCATGGATTTAACCTTGACTCGAAGACTTCGTTCTTTAGGTATCCCCAGAGGAAATAGCCAAATCGATTTAGATCGAGGAGGGAAATGGTGGCCATACTAATCCACCGCCGTGGATATCAGTAAATCTGCTAGACGGGATTCTGGTACCGAAGCTCTCGTGCAGGAAGTCTAACGCAACGTTTGCTGTGTTGGCAGGCCACGATCTCAATCCATGTGACTTCATACTAATCCACCGCCGTGGATATCAGTAAATCTGCTAGACGGGATTCTGGTACCGAAGCTCTCGTGCAGGAAGTCTAACGCAACGTTTGCTGTGTTGGCAGGCCACGATCTCAATCCATGTGACTATTTTCTCTGGGGATACGCAAAGGACAAAGTTTTCGAGTCAATGTTAAATCCATGCACATTAAGGGACCTGAAGGCGGCCACAGAACGTGAAATTATTCCATTTCCCTGGATAGGGTATCCAAGGTAGTTGTGCAAGTAGTTGTGCAGAATAACACCACACCTCTAGGAGATGTGATAGTGCGCCGAGGACACATTCAACATGTTTTTTTTTTTCATAGAGTACATCTTTCCCAGGTTTATGGATTCTGGATACGAAATTTCAGGCATTTAACTCTATTTATTCCAAGATTATAAAAATGTATAATGGTCCCATGAATAAAAAATCACACTGTACATAGAAAGTCATTGTTTGTTTCTCATTTCACCACAGGAGTTTGGTAAATTTGGCCGCCAAGATTAGACTACTTGCATTGATGTGCCTGTTTTCTTGCACAAACATCACTCGCATTTGTAGATCATACTAATCCACCGCCGTGGATATCAGTAAATCTGCTAGACGGGATTCTGGTACCGAAGCTCTCGTGCAGGAAGTCTAACGCAACGTTTGCTGTGTTGGCAGGCCACGATCTCAATCCATGTGACTGTTTTCTCTGGGGATACGCAAAGGACAAAGTTTTCGAGTCAATGTTAAATCCATGCACATTAAGGGACCTGAAGGCGGCCACAGAACGTGAAATTATTCCATTTCTATAATGGTCCCATGAATAAAAAATCACCCTGTACATAGAAAGTCATTGTTTGTTTCTCATTTCACCACAGGAGTTTGGTAAATTTGGCCGCCAAGATTAGACTACTTGCATTGATGTGCCTGTTTTCTTGCACAAACATCACTCGCATTTGTAGACGGAACACCATTGTCTAGATGTGGTTCGTGTGCCCCATAAAATCACTTGACTCTTTGAAGCCGAGTTCCCTTAGCGACAGGAAGTAAAGGGTTTTGAATAATCTGTACCGATAAAGGTTTGTTCTTCCAGTCACCAAAAAGCAGAGCTAGTCTTTTGATGAGAGAATTAAGGCACTTGGGAAGAAAAGGAAAGGATATCTTGCCATAGTCCTTTTGTTGCTTTTAAAACATACGCTTCCTCTTTTGACAGTCGCCCTTTGCCCAACCACAAAGTCAGTTGCAGAAAAAAAGAGTCACCTTTTTGTAATTCCCTTGATTAATAATAAGCTCACATATCTGAAACACCCTTCATTAGGTATTTTAAAAATATATTCGATTTTATTAGTCAAAAAAAGGACAATCGTAGACAAAAATTACGCAATACATGACCATCAGCAAAAGGGAATGCCGATTATAAAAAAAAATCATGAAAAAATCAAATGGGTTCAAGTATTTTTTAAAACAAATTAATATCAGTGCAATGAACTCCAAGTATACTTTTGTACTACATCTAAACTGGACGCACTTAGAGCGGATTTTAAATAGTCACATTGCACTTGCTGTCTCATTTTTAATTAAATCCCCATCTTATTCATGCCCTTTATTTGTTCCGGAGTTCAAGCGGAAGTTCAAGGAAGACATAAGTGACAGCAAGCGAGCATTGCCTCGTCTTGTGCTTGTCTTGTCGTGTGACTGCTTGTGAGCATGCAAAGCGCACTTTGTCTTTGTTCACTCAGACTTCGATTGAAATTGATTCCTTTTACGAGAAGTGAGAAGTGGTCACGGCCCGCTTAGAGCGGGCCGTGACCAAGGACAATGTAAATTATGGTGGAAATAAAAAACTTATTTTGGTAATTCGATTTGGTTTGGACTGGAACTCGAACATGATTGATGAAAGGTAATTAAAGTAACTATTGGTGTTCACAGTCTCCACCCGATTGGCTTGACCCTCATTAAGATTTGAACTTTCGTTGGATGGCAGTTAAAATAATACGCATTCGTCGAGTTGTTGATGTCTTTTAAGTTTGATGGCCTGAATGAGATTGGAAAATGCCTTTCTTTTTAAAGAACCTGTTGGGGAAATTTAAGCTGTCTGACATCCCACTTGCTCCAAAAGAAATTCCCCAAATTAAAGTGACATTTGATGTCGATACCAATGGGATCCTTTATGTATCTGCAGTCTATGAAGGAGCCATGACCAACCACAATGCGAGTCCCAAGTTACATTAAATACTCATTTTGAATCTAATTTTGTATAGTGAGCATGCAATATATAAATGATGAAAGCGACTGTGGTTGTTCGCAGTCTCCACCTGAGAGACTTGACCTAGTTTCATGACGGTTGTAATCTTCCTTGGATAACTGAATTGAATCATGCTACTGAATGTGTGTTTGCCTTTTGTTTTGGAAGCATTGGTAGAACTGAGGTCTTTCTTTCTCTAGAACCAATTGAAAAAAATTCAGGTTTCTGATATCCCACCTACTCTAAGAGGAGTACCGCAGATTAAAACGACCTCTGACATCGATGCCGATGGGATCCTTAATGTATCTGCCATCGACAAGTCGACTGGTCAGAAGATCACCATCACTAATGACAGATGTTGGTGTTCAATTTTCAAATGCATGCTGGAATCTGTTTGACTTGATCGGAAGTGGGAAAGGTGATCCACTGTATGTTCGTAGTTTCCTCCTGTGGAACTAGACCTTCTCTCTCTACAGTATGAAGGCTCAACCTTCCTTGGATCACTGATTTCACATCTTTACAATGTATCTGTTAGGTATCTTGGCTTTAGTTATCTGTACTGAAAGTTTGTTGAAAGATTGAAGTACATACTTGGTTTGTACTGTAGGTATCAGGAATATCATTCGTTTTAGTCCTACGTGAATTTATTCATTCCCCCCTTTACAGGACGTTTGAGCAAGGAGGATATTGAAAGAATGGTGAAGGATGCAAAGAAATACAAGGATGAAGACGATGCACAGAAGGGTCGTGTGGCAGCAAAGAACTCCCTGGAGTCCTATGTGTTTAGCATGAAGAGCACCATGGAGGATGACAAGTTCAAGGATAAAATCCCAGAAGGGGACAAGAAGACCATTTTGGACAAGTGCAATGAAGCTCTTAAGTGGCTGGAGGCAAACCAGGTATTTCCTCTTCTGTTGAACACCATTGTCTTTGATGATTTGAGATGTGTATTGTAGTGTTTATTTTTCTTCTCATCCCTTTTCATCGGACAAAACTTGCTCCTACGTACTGTTTTCTGTATTTTCGCGGAAAACTTAGTTCTGTGCAACGCGCAGATGGATGGAAACGATAAAATTAAAGCCGATCGAAAATCCCTCGACAAGCCCTGTTTCCGGTTATAGTTTATGTCAACCCTTCAGAAAAAAAGGCTCGTGCCACTTCAAATTCGAGCAGGAGTGATCAAGACGTAATTTAACAAAGCATTTAAGAAATGTATTTTCAGAAATTACTCAAGGTAAAAGTAAAACCAAGGAAGACAAAAAGTTTACCTAAACTGGGACAAAATTCCTCTTCTAAATTTGAATTAAATAAAAGAATGCGAAATCCTGATTAATATTTACATACAAAACAAAACGAAACAACCTGTCCCTCTCTTTATGGTCCCTACCAGTTACAAAGGGCATTTACCTGTTCTCGAACAAAACCCGCCAAGTTCCGGAAAGAACTCACACCTTTAAAATATGGGTGGGAATATCCCTCAACTGTCTCTCCCTATGTAAGTTGTGGAGATGGATAGATTGTCAGTTATACGACAACTACGATTTAAAAAAAATGGCGCGGGTACCTCGGTCAAATCGGTACCGATTTGAGTTCCGAATTTCTGCTCTCCAGTCAACTCCGGAGTGAGAGATTGAGGGAGGGATCGTGACTGGGACACTCATTGGATTGGCGACTGAGTTTGGCAGAAGGGATCTCGTTGGAGGGACTTTGGACTCCACGCAACGGCGTTATGACTTGGAACTTGCTTGGAGAGTAAATCATTGAAATGATTTGCCCTCTCCCTCGAGGAGGCCGGCCCCGAACACTGGGTTCACTTCGATCTCCACGTGTAAATGTGGAGTCTCGTGATCTCTTCTTTAATCCAGCTCTCTCCTCGGCTCAGCTCTTCGCTGATGCACTGATCGGCACCGAAGGAATGGCCAATATACGTGGTTTTTTTTGTGGTCCATGTTTTTTGGGCCACACTGTATATGCATGTCCGAGATGAACAGAAATAAGAACGAGAATCACAGTTGTAAGGATCATTGAGTAAGGTGACCAGGTTTCTGTGTCACGAACGCGGGACGCCCAATAAATACTTTCCCTTGCCTCTTAAAAAAGAATATGAATGTATTTGTTGGACTGACAACTGTATTTATTCTTGTCAAAACATGAATTAGAACTGCTATTTAATTGTGCATCCACAGTAGCGCAAACAGACCTAAAGTTAGGGGGTGGGAGTTTCTGGAAAGTGGCTTTCAAATGTCTCGGAATGCAAGAAAGCGTTATCAAATCATCAAAAGAGGAAAACGCGAAACGACGTCAAACACGTCAACCTAGAAAACGAAAAGAAAATGTTTCATGAAATGGTGGAAACGGAATTTAAACAATTAACGATACAAGCGCATTCGATATTTGAAACAAAGCTAAAGGTGAACGGTTGATTTCGGAATTCGACCCAGATTTCACTGCGCTGACATGCGATTGGAAATTCGTTTACCTGCACGTTTTATTCATGACTTTCATCCGAGTCGTGGTCCTTCCGTTCTCGGAAAAAATTTCAGTCGCGTCACATGCTTCCGTGACATTTTCACTTTACTGCAGGGAGTAGCGGCATGTGGCTGGCGTGGCCTTCACCTTCCACTCCCATCTTTGCCCCTTTCTAGCGTCGCTCTCGGAGTCGGTAGGAAGGAGACTGGGCCTCCTCAAAATTCTCAGGAGTCAATTTCCCATGCAATTTCAAAATATCTACGATATCAAATATCTGAAAGAAATCTCCGAGAATCATTGGATTCGTTCTGTATTGACGCAAAACGAGCCATGGGGGGGGGGGGGGGGGGGGCCCCCCCCCCCCAATGTTGGTAGTTCCCAGGTCAATCCCAACAGCAGGTGCCTTGGCCATTGGGAATGTGATGAATTTGAACTGTAATGAGCAAAATGAAAATAGTTTAATCAAGTTATCGATTGAATTTACTGTATTTAATATTTTTTTTATAGAGTAGCAGCTTGTGCCTTTGAAGTCAGAAATCTAATGAACGACTGAGCGCACCAGCTGTGAAGTCATGCTCTATAGATTTAATCTGAGGTGATGGGGTGGGGGGGGGGGGGGGGTCTCACCGTCTGCAGTGCGCACGAGCAAATGCCTGTTAGCAAGAGCTAGCATTTGTTTTTACTCCTTAGCTGTTCGGTAATCCGAATTCGCATTGCCAATTTTCATTTACGCAGTTGCCGTGGTTGAAAAAAAAAAGATTCAAGATATGCTATTCATCATCCTGATATTCGCTAGGTTTAGCTCGATGCAATATTATTTAGGAAAAGTTCTGAGACTCGCAATGCGAATATTCGACCGTCGTGTCATTCTTTCTTCGACATTTTCCAAAAGCGGGACATCTGGACGTCTCGCTTACTTATCGGGGACACCGGGACATGTGGTCGGAAAGTGGGACTGTCCCGCCTTAATCGGGACGTTTGGTCACCTTATCATAGAGTGGCACGTGTTACATTTACAACGGAAGATCAATGTTGTCCATCGTGTCTTCTGATGTCATGGTTGTCATTTGATGGACAAGAAAAAAAAAAATATTCCTGGGCTCGATCCAAATGATTTCTCTGCAGCCCTGCCATCTGGCATTTACTCCAACAAATAAGGTTTCTAATAGGGAAAGTGTGATGACGGCTGTTGTCGCCAAGTGGAAATTTAAAAAAATGTTATCCCCGCTACACAGTGGGACGGAAGCCCATTTTCCTAGCCAAATTAAAAAAAAAAGAATTTCCTGATATGATTCTGATATACAACCCCCCAATCCCCAATATCCAATATTTAGAAATTTGCAAGTGCTTTAAAGAGAGATGAAGCCACGATCCGGATAGAACGGTGGAAACTCAACGAAAATCTGACTATCCCTCCACGCTCGCATTTCTTCAAAAGAAACCATGCCCGAAGAAAAAAACTGATCGATCTGTTCTGATTTGAGAGAAATTTCTATGAGTAAGTACCTTCATGTTGCATGATATGATATTCTGTTACCGTATTACAAGACGTTACTGAATGAAGAGGCAACTTCTTCAGAAATGTCATAAGTAGGCGAGTAGTGTCTAGTTGATGTGACCTTTCTAATGATGCATCAATCATCTTCTTGTTTATCCTCTTCTTCATTTTCACGTTCTTCTCCATCATCCTCAGCGGGAATTTGGTCAGGGCGTGGATATTGAAAGCAAAAGATTCAACCAAAAACATATATATATATATTCCAGGAGCTTAAAAAAAAGTTGAATTTTGACTGTACAATTCGAAAAAAAGAGTGAAAATGACAGGAAGATGAAATGTTTTATTGCAAATTTTGGAAAAACATTGAATTCGAATGCATAGTCAAGTGGAACAAGAGCAATAGACTTTTCTTCAGTGCGGCCCCCGGCTCAAAAAGTTTCATTATCGCTGATCTAGACGAAAAAAATCGGCTCAGTCGAGTGTACGCGGCAGCTGCAGTGCAAGGGCTTACTAACCCCTTAACCCTTTGGGCTTAACCCCTTGAACACCCATGACGCACCCGTATGCGTCATGGGTCAGGACCATGCACACATGACACATACACACATGACGCATGGGTGCGTCATGCGAATTTCGTCATTTCCCGTTGCGACTACTCTCTCTGTGATATCTGCATGATGGCTGATCGTTTCTTTCATATCCGGCAGATTTCGTACCATTACAGCTTTCCGGTTAAAGCACACATGTTGCAGCAGAAAAAGTATCCTGCTTTCTGTACTCTCCCCTCAAGCAGTCACGGAGTCACTCAGGAAAAGAAAACGTGGTGTCGAAGAAAGTTTAGTCAGTAATTTACTGTGTGAGAGCGATTCTGACTTTGAATGTGAGTCGTGTAATTCTGAATGATTCTTCAAGTACGGAATTTGACTCTTCGAGAGAAGACGTTAGAAGACATTCAGAAACTGATTCTGGTGACTCCGGTGACGGCAATGACGGGTGTGGTGACGCAGCGCCGGAGATGGCAGTTCTGGCAGCGCCGACAGTGCAAAGTGAAGAACATAAAGAACTGCTTCCAGAAATGCCACGAAAGTTTATTGAACCCATAAGCTAGGAGCTAAAGTAGACACAAAATAAGCCGATCTGTCAAATAACTCTTTCTTGGTGAAATAAATAATATTTTCAGAAAATTCGGTGTGTCAGGGGTGCGCTCAGATTCATTTTCCGGTGAGTTCAAGGGGTTAATAGAAACCGAAAAATGGTGAATCGAAAGTATAAATAGGTTTTCGACGAGCTCCGTCGACAATCCGATTTACATTCGAGGAACTTCAGTTTACATTCAGTCAACGCACCAAACATTGGGTATGGCACGGAGGCATTTCTCGAGAATTTTCAACCTTAAAGTAAATAAGTACATTATATGTACATGCATATGACCCACATATCTGCACCTGAATCAGGTTCCACGAGATGTACTGTACAATGAATCTGGCTTCATTTATTTATAAATAATTTTTTTCTTGAAAGTTGTCGCCCGTTCCTTTCTTGGTACTGGCTGCAAAGAGAATGTGAGCCCCTGCCCCAAAATTGAGAGGTGTTATTTTTTCGAATCGAGTGAATAGAAACCAGCGATTGAGTTCACACTCTCGAATGATTGCTATCCAATCTCGCTATACAATTTCAATGGACTTCTTAGCTCGTTCCCCAATGTGTCGTCGAATTCGGAGGGCTCCAACGGGGATCCATTTATCTGAGTTACGATACTCACTGGTATCGATGGGCTCAACTCGGCGATTGATGAGTCGCGGCCTTCGCAGGATCAATATCGTCCCGAGATGATTCGTGCTCGGACGTCTCGCTTCCCGAGGACGCTGGGGCATCGAGATGGTAAAGGGTTGGGTTCGAACTCGGGGTCATCGGCCGTGGGAGCCAAGCTCA